ACCTCGAGCCAATTTGCGGAAATGTCATTTTACTTATCAAAACTTCAATTAAAGTATATAAAAAGGTTCTCCAAGATTCATAGATCATTTTGGTACCATTAATTTGAAGTTTTAACAACAATTTCAAGGTTTATGATTCTTGGTTCTTCAAACATGTCAAACACATAACTCAACCAAATGACCATTTATGAACGTAGAAACGACCTATATGAACATTCTAGTTATTAGATATATCTACGGGCTTACCTCAAAGTAAAATGGAGGTTTTGTAGGTTTTCTGGCGAAACTTCCGGCGACCAAAGCTCTCAACTCCGGCGATCTCTCTCTGAAATGGAAGCACCAGCAGGTTCTCCTCACCAGGGCAGCAGTTTAGGAAGAGATTTGGGATGATTTGGTAGAGAATTGAGAGAATTAGGATTTCTTAAATAGAGGAAGGAAGGAGAAGAAGACATGGATGAAATATTCTTGAGTCACCCAAATCGGCTAGTGCGCCGATTAAACAGTAAGCGCCGATTGGAGTGTAGTCCCTGATTGGGACTAATTTTGGTTCCAGTTGAGGTACACTTTTTGGTCCAATTTTCTCCAAATTGAAATCCGATTGAACCGTTGGGGTCATACAGTCAAACTTTACACAACGATATAATTTTTATTAATTATTGACAAACTTTAGAATTTACTTTTTTTTTGGTCCTTCTCTGTAATTAATTAATTATCAATTAATTAATTTTGATAGGCCTATTTTCGGGGCGTTACATTTGGGCATATTTAGGGAAAATAAAAAATAGAGTTGATTTTTTGAAATTGACATTACTTTTTAAGAGGGGTGATGATGAATGAGAAGATAAGGTGAAAAAGAGTGACTTATTTTAAGGGTAGTTTAGCTATTTTATTTTTAAAAGTTTACGAAAACAACTAACAGGCAGTTTATTTTGGGACGGAGAAAAAAGGCAAACATGCAATTTAAAATGGGACGGAGGGAGTATTATTTTTTATTCGAATATTAATCAAATACAAAAACAAATAGGGATATATTCGATTCGGATGATATTCGAATATTCAAATATATGCATATATACATAGACCATATTTTCAACATCAAAAGTCAAGAAAAGTAATATACGGAGTAGTATCAAGTGTATTTAAAATACTAAGAATTCAATAAATTAACGTAATACAAAAATCTAAAGCATATGATTTTCTAATCTCTCATCCTTCAATCTCTTAGATATCCATCCGAACCCCCATTTATTCTCTCTTTTGATGGGGTTATCTTCCCCCCTTTCGTGTCTTGCTTTTGAATCCGATGTGTCCACTGAAGGGATTTCCAGTAAGATCGACTTGGAGGTAATTTTGGTCTCCATTGATAATTTCTTGACTAGATACCCCTTTTTCCTTTTCGGGGTTGGGTTCATTTGGCTTGTGGTGATCCCGCTGACTGAGGAGTACTTGCAGAAGTACAAGTTCATATCTGCCATTAACGCATTCAAGAAGCTCAGGAATGACCCAAATTGTCAGATGTTGGATATTAGGGACAAGAGAGCTTTGGCATATTTGGATTCACCCAATTTGAAAATCTTGAATAAGAAGGTGTTGCAGGCTCATTTCGTCGAAGGAAAGGAAGATATTTTTGTCAAGGAAGTTTTGGAGAACTTTCGGGAGCCAGAAAGCACCACAGTTTGCATTATAGATCAGTGAGTTTTCGCAGAGCCTTATGATATGCAAAAAAGTTTCTATTTTTTTCTGTATACTTGTTGAAAATACATTATTTTCAGTTGCTATGAAGTTATGTGTCTTGCAGTGCATTATAATTAATAGTGTTGGAGGGGTTTCCCTGCTAATTGAGCTCTAAAAAATGGAACATAAAAATTTTGTTTCTTCCTAGACCCTACTCTTGTGGTATCAAAATGGGTTGTTGTATTGTTGTCAACTTTTGTTTCTTCTTACTTTCTGTGAAGTTTTGGGCAGTAAATGAAGCAATGCATCTAGGGTTTAATGGAAGCAGCCTCCCTATTTTTTAGGGACAAGACTGCATACATCTTGACCCTAAGAGAGTTGGGATTATACTATGTTGTTGTTTTTATTTGAGGGTTTTGACAAATAATGTTTTGTCTCAATAATGTTTTGTCTCCTGTGTGGAAGATAGTTTCGATGGTAGGTAACTCACTCAAGGTGGCTGAAATGTTGGTGAAAAATGGTTTCAAAGAAGCCTATGCAATCCGTGGTGGGCTGAGAGGCAACAAAGGATGGCAGGTTATATATCTATCTATCCTAAAGTAAATATACAGAGTATTTATGTCTGGAAAACATGTATACATTTGAAACAGCCACATTGAATATTTACACTAAAATACGCTAACCAAAATATGGAAGTCATACCAAAGGTGGAAACAAACTAATAGTCGTGGATTCGTGGGACCAAAAGTGTAAAATTTTGAAGGTTATTACTCCATCTGCCCCAAAAATATTACTCGAGTATATAATTTGACTTTCGCATTGTTTAAAAAAAGCAATGAAAAGGGAAAAGTGAGGAGTGTGAGCCACATGTTTAGTACGGAGTACTTCAAAAGGATAAAAAGCAAGTTGGGAGTGTTCTTTGTGACTTCCAAAGAGGGGAAGTGCAAAGTGTTTTTTATGGGACGGAGGGAGTATATACCTCAGCTATTTTTGGTGTAGATTACTGTGAATCTTAAGATTTTGATCCTCATGTTCTAGTCATGACTTGACTTATAATTGAATGAAACACAATTAACCATCTATTTACATTTCATGTTGATTTGTTGCAGGAGATACAAGAATCACTTCTCCCTTTATCTGTTCGTGTCTATCCAAAAAAGAAAAACAAAGAACAGAATGAGAGTGGTATATATGCAAACCAGCCAGAAAAAGGCACGGATTCTGGCATAAAAAGAAGTGAACAGATTAAAATTTATACTTTGTGTTTTTAGTACATTGTAAATTCTAGTGGAGTATATGACAAGTGAATTTGTATTTGTAATGATGATGAAGAAAAAAATCTCTTGAGCAATGGCAGCAAGCAAATTTCTGTCTTTTACAATGCTGCAATTCATTTAGTTTGCAGCTGAAACAACTTACAGAGTAACCTGTATACATTTTGCCCTCCTAAACATGCATACTCCAAAATTAGCTGATGGATTAACCTGTCTGTTTTACTATTTGCATGGTCGAATTTTATTCACTTTCTTTTTTTATTTTTGTTACGGAGTACTAATTCGATAACATAATATACTCATGTCATTCCTCATTTCACAGATCTTTTGATACGGAGTACGTAGTATAATTTTTTAAAATGCAAATTTATTTTTTTAATTTGCTCAAAATTTCAAATAAATTGTATTGAGAACGACTTCAGTCATGCATAAAATTGAAATAGACGATTTAAATTGGGATGGAAAAAGTGGTTAGTTTGGTCACTTTTAACACTCATTAAAGTCAAATGGAGAAATTGTTTTGGCCAAACGAGTGAGAGTATTTGAATGAACGAACCTCAATGCGGCGGATGCTTCGTCCCCTAAGCATCAATCTATTAAGCTGCCGCGTGTTACCGCCCCACACTCTTGCCTTTTCCCCACTGCCGAAGAGGATCACCGGCGCATTTAGACTTTCCGATCGAACGATGTGCAGCAACACTTCATCTTGCGCGCCTACTCCGCCGGCCGCAAAGAAGGTGAGGCACGAGATGGAGCTTTTCGGCGACGTGAGGGTCAACAATTACTACTGGCTCCGCGACGACAGCCGCTCGGACCCCGAGGTTCTCTCTTATCTCCGGGAGGAAAATGAATACACTGATCACATCATGTCTGGTTCGTGCTATATTCATCTCAATATAGAAAAAAAAGAACAAATCTTTCCTATTCGTCACTGGAACAAATGCGTCTCGTACAATGATTCTGTACATGTTTGATGTTTCATCCTGGAAGATGAATTAATGATGATTAAATGACATCCCAGGCACAAAAAAGTTGGAAGAGGATATATACACTGAGATCAGAGCAAGAATCAAGGAAGATGACATATCCACACCTAAACGGATTGGCCCTTATTACTACTACGAATGGACACTGCAAGGGAAGGAATACACTTAACACTGTAGACGCCTTGCCCTGAATCGCGAAGCACCATTATCTGTTTATGATATCATGCCAACTGGACCGGATGCCCCACTAGAGCATGTAATTCTTGATGAAAATGTCAAAGCTCAAGACCACGAATTTTACCGCATTGGTGCCTTTAAGGTATGGATTTTGTTAGAGTACATCCCACATCGGAAATCCAAGAATAAAATAATCGGTATATAAGCTCTAGAGTTGAACTAACTAATCGATTGGATTCAATCTTTTAACACGGTTCAATTCCAGTGTCTTATTGTCAATCCAGTTGTCCATACCCATCCTAAATTCTATCATGGTATCAGAGCCAGTTTTAGCCCACATTGTTTGTCAAGGTGTCCGTCTAGACGTTCATTCCTAGCGGCCCGTTAGTCTTTAGCCCAGTTGTCCGTATGGAGGTTGTACCCAACGGCCTGTGGCCTGTTTAACACGATTGCTCGTCTGGAAGTCTAAACCCAGCGGCTCGTGGTCCTTTAGGTGTTGGCGCTCATAAAAAAAAGTTAAGGGAATGGGAGTTCATTTGCAAGTGGTCAACCGGTTATATTCAAAATGGCCCGGTTGTCCACTTGAGGGGGAGTGTTAGAGTACATCCCACATCAGAAATCCAAGAATAAAACAATCGGTATATAAGCTCTAGAGTTGAACTAACTAATCGATTGGATTCAATCTTTTAACACGGTTCAATTCAAGTGTCTTATTGTCAATCCAGTTGTCCATACCCATCCTAAATTCTATCAGATTTCTTGCTTTTATCAGCTACTCTTTGAAATTCTGCTTTATTATTGAGGTTGTGATTTTTTCTATTTTTTCTATTTTTTATTACCATTGCTTCTTTCAGGTAAGTCCCGACAATAAGTTAGTGGCATATGCTGAAGACACCAAAGGAGATGAAATATATATTGTTCACACTATTGACATTGAATCTCAAGCTCCTGTTGGGGAGCCTCTAGTTGGGTTGACATCAGAACTTGAATGGGCAGGTGATGAGGCCATAGTTTATGTCACAATGGATGAAATCCTTCGTCCTTACAAGGTAAGGAATTTGGTTAGAACATCACGACATTAAGTGACTTCCCAAAAAAATCCTAATACATTTATGAGCAGTTTGCATATTTTGTTTTCATTTATATGATGTTTTCATTAGTTGTCCAACATGTGTGTTTGGTAAAAAAAACTATTCAAGTGTAATTGAGTTTAACCATTAATAGATCTCATTAATGAGTTTTTAGGCTCACATTTTGACTATGTTATGAATTGTAATCCAAACTTGCTGTATAAAGAAAGTTCTAGTAACTTTCTCGTTAGACATCAAATATGTACCTAAAGAGACCAATTTGACCATGGGGTGCTCATAGGTTATGTTAGAACTTAGAACTGTGCTACAAAAGGTACTATTCACCTCATAAAGATGGAGCCTGAGATGGCTTATGAAGGCAGATTTGGTACCGTGTTGAATAAGATAATTAAATGAGAGAATGAACTTGTATTCTTTTATTTAAATTGATACTAGAGCACCTACTTATATAAACCTTAGAACTAATATACATATGGATGCGATATAATTTGTATCCCACACTAATCAACACCACTCATGTTTCATGTCTGATGTTTCTCAAATCTAAATAAGCACATTTTGTTAAAAAATCTATATCTTTTTGTCCGACTTCCTTTATCAGGTAACATCAGCACCATTTGACCACTGTGCCTATCAATGAAAATTTGTTATTTATATTGTGTTTTGCAGGCATGGCTGCACAGGTTGGGAACAAGCCAAGCTCATGACACCTGCCTTTATCATGAAAAGGATGAAATATTTTCATTGGATCTTCAGGAATCTGAGAGCAAGAAATTTTTGTTTTTAGCATCGAAGAGTAAAACTACAAGATTTGTTTTATATCTAGACATTTCAAAACTGAAAAAGAGTTAGTGTTTTTGACACAGCGAGTAAGTGGAATTGAAACATATGTTAGTCATCGGGGAAATCACTTTTTTATTCAAAGGAGGAGTGATGAATGTTTTAACTCAGAGTTGCTTGCATGCCCCGTGGAAGATGTATCACACACAACTGCTCTTCTTCCTCACCGGCCAAGGTTATACTTTTCTAATACAACATTTATGTTATTACTTATTAGCCATATATAGGTAGCAGCTTTGTTGTTATCTTTGATGGTGCTTGAAGTGTTTATAGTAGTGCTTAAAACATAGTAAGTAATAAAAATATGACAAAATGATTGTAGGTTTGTCTTGTTAGCCATTATAATAATGTTGGTCTTTTCTTTTGTTTCCTTTTATGCATTTTTTTCATGAAGACTTGTTTCCATCCGTAATTTTTTTGGGTCTAAAAATTTTGCTCTCATTGATAAATCACGTCATTAATTTTCTTCTATATAAATAATATTGTTCTTGGTTTTCCACTATGCTCATCTTTTTCACTTTTTAAGTATAATGGTGAATGGTGATTATAATGTGCTCTTCTGCAGCATAAAGATCCAATACATACAACTTTTTTGCAACCATCTTCCTGTTTATGAGCGTGAACAAGGTTTGCCTAAAATAACCATTTATAACCTTCCTGCTGTTGGAGAGCCATTGAGAAAGCTTCAAGGTGGCAGGGCTATTGATTTCATTGATCCAATATACTCTGTGGATCCATCAGAATCACAATTTGCATCAAGCATCTTGAGGTTTTACTATAGCTCCCTTAACATATTATAACAAACTCATTTTTTTAATATTAGTACTCAATAAGTCAATATAATTTTACTAGGGGCATTGACCCCCTATAGTCAAGCTTTACATCCTCCCTTGTAAACGGTAAGATTGTGAATTTTTCTTTGTACTTCTAGCATTATTGAAATATTAAACAAAAAAATTACGGAGTATAATTAAGCATTTAAGCCGATCATGACTAATGTAATTGGGAATTACTCCTTATACATAAGACAATTACCTTATACGACTATCTCATTTCATAATTGGTCGAACTCATTTTCACTTCATTTGATTTTTTTCCTATATGTATCGGAATCATGCAAGGGGCCACAAAACTCGCCATTACTCGAGTGGTAAAAATTATTGGCAAATAAATCTTGTATGAAGAGAAATTTTTTGTATCTCTTGTGACGAGTGAATACTCAATCCATTCATAAATTAACTTCTTACTTTGAACACGGTATAATATCTTATTTCTTTTAAAATCATTTATTTACAAAATGGTAAATAAATGAAAAAAATATGAATTACATATTTTAAAAAGACATTAAAAGTTTTATAAAACAAAACATGATGATAATATTCTATTTTATCAAATTAACAATAAAAATATACGTATAAGTAAATAAAAATTATTGAGAAGTTAGAAAAGTTATTTCTAGACAGATAATGTAGTAATTAATGACGAATTTTTAAATACTTGTACTCTGAAAGGGGCAAATTTTTTTGCGATAATTATAGTCATGCTCATTTTATAGATTTTAATATATAAAATCATTATGTGTATTGGATCTTGTAAAAAAGAAAGAGATTCAATTATGACCATATATCTTTAAAATATATAGTAATTTTTTTTTTTATTTCTATACCAATTTATAAATAAAATGAATGGACAAGAATGGACAAACTTATAGGACATGTTCGTTCTCCCTAAAATAAAAATAATTGCATTTAAAAATTATAGGACGGGTTCGTTCTCCCTAAATTGTTCGAACCTAGGATCGGTCCTAATCGCAAAACGACGGAGAGAATTTGACGCTTATCCACTTCTCGCCGTTGGCCGGCGACCCCGCACCAGAACGGCGTCTCGTTCCTTATCCGCCGCCACTTCTCTGTATATCCCTCTCTCTCTCTCTCTCTGCTCCAGTGAAAACACACAGTGAAACGTGAGTACATCACCTTATTTATTTATTTAGTTTTTTAGTGGTTATTAATTTCCTGCGTATTCATCTATCAGCCTACGTTTTGATATTCCCTTGTCCAATTGTAATTTTTCGCATGAGAAGGGAAGAGAAGAACTTTTAACCCGAAATTGGGTTATTTTTGAAGGGTTTTAGCAAATGAGAGCACAAAAATGGAGATTGGATAATGCTATATAGCTACCAAAAAGCATAAGCCATGAAGTTCATATTTACCTGTGATAGAAGTTAAAGACACCGAGAATTAATTAATAAGAGTAGCTGATAGTAATGAGATAGATCGGAAACATTGTTAGACTCACGATCTGTAGTTAGGGGCGCTAATTACAGAATGCCGTCAGTTAAGAATCTACTAAGCAGTGATGTGGAACCATGTTGGCGTAGTGGCGAGGAAGCATCCCCAAGCTTCTCCACATCCAGCATTGGAGCCCCACCCCTGCACTTAAGAAGTCGAGATTATAAGATTGAATAGATACTACATTAATGGGTATGAGAGCTACTAAAAATACTAAACGAAGATTGTGACTCGGTCTCCCTGACCTAGCCACAACCACAATCCACACTCTCGCAAGGATGGACCTTGCTTGCGGGGCGTCACTACCCAAATCCCTTTTTAGCCTCCACCTCACTTTCGGCCGGGTTGCTCTAACCCCTTTCAAGCTGGCTTTCTTCGTAGATGGACCAGGCTTAGCATCCCAACCCTAAATACAATTACATAAATAAACGGGTTGGGTACATCGGGTCAACTCCCAATGTACTTTTGACTTGTTCATCCCACATCGACCTCAACCTCTGGAGTTAACATTTGCGGTTGAATTGGGCCCAAGTCTATTATTTCAACATGGTATCGGAGCTAAGCCATTGGTGTTGGGACCGCGCCCGCAGTAATCTGTGCCTCGTGTGAGGAGGGCGTGTTGACTTGTAATGCAGCCATATATTGTGTTGTTATTTAATAGTTTGGATACCTCAACCTCTTGAGTTAACTTTTGGGGTTGAATTGGGCCCAAGTCTATTATTTCAACATATACCTATCAACCTCCTTTAAGGCTTTGAGTGTCATAACCATAAGATCAATCCAGTGAATTCCGAAAACCTAATGTATTTATAAAAAAAAAGATTGAAACATGAGTTTGGAAAATTCTGCCATATATTCTACAATTACTTCTCTTACCAAGCAGATTATATAGCTCCGAACTGCTTTATCCAACTCTATCAGACTCTAACTATCTGAGCTGATAAAATCTCCTTTTTTGCTCCTTTTCAAAACACAGGTAGTGTGCAAGGTGTCCATCTTTATTAAGACAGTCCCATGAAAAATCTATTAAATTTAAGAGGGTAATGTCATTAGAAAGGAGTACAATCGATATCGAGTCATGGGATGGGACCATTTCATCTGGAGAGTTCTACATTTCCAGTTGTGCATTTGCTGAGAAATGGGAGAAGTTTAACTCTGCTCTTCCTCAATGGTCATGGTGCAGATGCCCTAAGTTACTTGGGGTTCCTTCATCTCGAGTATCCAACTCATACCTTTCTTTATTCTGAATGACATTGTCTCATTGGTTTATTGTATGCAATCAAGTTTCTTAATTTCTGTTTTATTAATTAAAAAAAAACAGGTAGAAGGATATCTACGCGTGGATGGCATAATTCCTCCTCGCAGGTGTACTATGGTATGTGCTTGATACTTTCACGGTTTCACCTCACCCACCTCGTTAATCGAGGACTTCCAGTCTCTTTGCCCAACAGGTTGGGGGGTTTTTGTTTTATTACTCCGTAATTTATTGGCCGGGGGTCTCTTGGAAACAGCCTCTCTACTTTCGGGTAGGGGCAAGGTCTGCATACACGCACCCTCCCGAGACCCTACTGTCGTGGGATCCAACTGTTGTTGTTGTTGTACTCCGTAATTTATTCTTAAACTTAGATGGTTGGAAATGATAAATTATATATAAGTACATGATTTACTTAAAAATTTAGTACTTATTTTCTAAGTGTAAGACTTAGAGATAGAGATAAAGTACAAAAATGAATGCCAATCATCTATTCCCCTCACCTCTAGAATCCACCAGGCCCCAACCAAACAAGCCCCTAATGTGGTTACTTTTTTCTCTCTTATATTTCGCTGCAGGAGGATAATCATGAATGCGATGATGGTGGATTAAAAGAGACGGTTTGCTTGGAGGAAGAGGAGTTTATTGACAGTGCTGCATTGGTCTGTATGTTCTGTTTGTTTTGGTGTTTTAGAAAAAAAAATTCCTTTGAATCTTTATGTGAAATGCATGATCTTTCAATATGTCCTCATCTCACCATGAAGCTTCTCTTTTAAAGGTTCAACCTGAGAGGCATGAAAGGTGCCACTATGACTTCCATATTGTTTACAGCTTATCCTATGGCGTCCCTGTGCTATATTTCCGAGCATACTGGAGCGGTATGTTTTAATTCAATGAATTTTATGCTCCAAACAAATCATTCGGTTTTATGGATTATATCCAAGTATTCAACCCCTCTTAGTCTCTTACTAACCCCTTTGAGTGCTTATAATTATAAAACAACAAGAAGCCCGGCAAAATCCCACAAAAAGTAGGGTGTGGAAGCGTGTATATGTATACCTTACCCCTACTAAATAGTAGAGATTTTGTTTCTAAGAGATCCCCGGCTCAAATATAGAAGTACGGACTAAGAAACAACTGTGGCATGGGCGAAGTACGTACATAGACAAAATAAGCATCCAAACCGACTAATGTGGATGAAATTGTTGAATAAGTTGATTTGGCTATAAATACATCAAGTACTTTTTACTAAATACATTTACAACTATATATCATAGTATCGGAAAAAGAAAGTAGAACTGTAAAAGTATCATTTTATTTTGTTTCAGCTGAAAAGTCATCTAGTTTGAAAATATATGATTTGTGGAGAGGAATAAACAAGAATCCCCCCCCCCAATTTCTTTCCTACATAGACACGAGCTCATATACATGTTTTGATTGTTGTCTCGCCTCAGATGGACAACCTTTGGCATTGCACGATGTAGAAACAGACATGCCTGCAATCACAAGACAAGAGCTGTCATCGTTCAAATGGACCTTTATAACTCAAGAGGTTACTACATTGTTCAAATACTCCCACTGTCCTACAATTAAGTTCTCCTTTGATAAATGGCACACATCTCTAGGCCAGACATTCTTTCCAACTCTGATCATACTTTATTGTTTTGTGACAATAATAAAGTAGGGGCATGGTTTTACATTCTTTTTCATAAAGAATTGCCTTTTGTACGAATGGGAACTTTATCTTTTAGACTTCCGTAAAAAGAAAACAAGATCGTAATTACGGGATGGAGGGAGGATTTACTTCCAGTTGTATTTGTATCCCTTTAATCTTACTTTTTAACCACAGGTTCACATCTTTGATACATTGTGTGAAATTNTCTCTAGGCTAGACATTCTTTCCAACTCTGATCATACTTTATTGTTTTGTGACAATAATAAAGTAGGGGCATGGTTTTACATTCTTTTTCATAAAGAATTGCCTTTTGTACGAATGGGAACTTTATCTTTTAGACTTCCGTAAAAAGAAAACAAGATCGTAATTACGGGATGGAGGGAGGATTTACTTCCAGTTGTATTTGTATCCCTTTAATCTTACTTTTTAACCACAGGTTCACATCTTTGATACATTGTGTGAAATTCGCGCAGGATCACCCTTACCTGAACCAGCCATGGTTCACGCTACATCCGTGTGGGACTAGTGAGTGGATGAAGATGCTCTTTAGTAGGGACACATCTGCAATGGCACTTGGTGGAGTGGCTATTGATAGGTACATGGTGTCTTGGTTCTCAGTTGTTTCGAAAGCTTTTGGTCTCCAACTTCCCCTTGAAATGTTTGGTAGTGGTTAAGTTTTGGAAATACTTTGGTTGAGTTTTATGGCACAAATTTCGTAAAAAGAATTTTCACTTTATTTCTCTCTTTTCAAAAAGGAATCGAAATTAGTCCGTATCCGTTACCCTATTTTCAAAACACCCATAATTTAAAAAAAAAAAATTCCTTCCTACTTTTAAAATACCCTCCATCTCCCTCTTCTCTTCCTCCCTCCACTCTCCCCAACAAACACCACAACCCTTTGAACTTTTAAGGAAGACCATATATCAGCTGGGCTAAATACTAATTACTTCTCCAAATCAAAGATGTCGTCCGACAAGACGACGAGCGTGCACGTGACGGCCCTGGACGGGCTGGTGAACGTGAATTCACTGTTCACGGTGGCGGTGTTCGTGGGCCTGTCCATCGCGACTCAGGGCCAGAAGAGCCTGGAGGAGCGGACGGCCTGCGACGCGGGGATAGACAAGGTGAGGGGGCTGGTGGTGTACGAGGTTGTCTCCTTCAGCTTCTTCCTCTTCTCTTCCCTGGTGGCTCAGGGCCTGAAGCTGGCCATAAACCTGCTGACCCGAGACGACACGGACGAGGCCATCAAGGCCCATGTCAATACCAAGGCCCTGAAGTTTGGGATGTTGGGCTGCGCCGGGGGCTCGATGTTGGGCTGCTTGTTCTTGATGATGTCCATGGTGAGAGTGATAGAGATCAGGCTTGGGGTTCTGTCCTGTGGGAGCAAATCCTCTTATAATTCTGTTGTTGCTTTGGTTTCTTTGGTCTGTTCTGGCCTCCTCTATGTTTGCACTGCTGTCTATGCTTTTATCCACTACTGAGGAAAAAAAACATACCCCCTCAAATAAAGGTTTTCTTGTTCATTGTTCTAGAGTCAGTTTTTTTTATTAATCTTTCTTTTTCATTTGATAAAATATTATAATGTTATCGTATCTTCTTTTATAAAACTTTTGATATACAAAATAGTTTTAAAATATTCTGCAAGTAATTTTTTTTAAATTGCATGATGTAGAAAGAAATCTCTATGGGGATTGAAGTTTCTCTCTGCGACTTTATTCTGTCTTCCTCATTTTAAGCTTTTTTTTGTGGGTACCAAAATCTACGGATGAATATGTGGTTCATACTGTAATTTTCAAACACTAATCTCATTTTTTTCAGTGTTTCATGGTTCTTGCATTAGTTCATCGTTCTTTTTAGCTTTTTCAAAAAGTTATTTAATGTTAATGTCTAGTTTTAACATTTTTAAAATTAATTTGTACCATTGAAAAATACACTAAACAATAACTCTAATTAAACATGTTTTTCCTAAATAAGGCCTTAGTTCAAAAGTACTCTGATTCCTAGTTCTAAAAGGTTTAATAGTGCGTTCTGGGGACAGCAGGGGGTCCAAGGGACAGAGCCCCTGTTCGGAGTACAAAACATTTAAAAACCGAACATGTGGATATATATATCTAAAATTAGACCAAAATTCCCAAGCAACTCTTCGCGCGAATGCTTCTTTATGCGAATGTAATGTTTGTTCATGTTTTTTCGCTTCTATAAATATAGATACGCGGGTATAGTTGAGGAACTTGAGGTATCAATTTCAAGTGTTTGTTCTTGAATTAACGTCTTATTCGATTAAAATATTTTGGTATATTTCGAAATAACTTTGATTTGAAAGCATTTTACGTGATTCGTTATAAGCTATCAAGTCGTTCATGACATTTTTCATTTACTAGATTCTCTAATGCTGCTTCGTAGAGTTATTCTTTCTCCATAAAAATTTCCTACATTTAACTACTCCTTGTTTTGTAGTTTCTTCTTTGTCAAATATTCGTTCGATGCATTTAGAAGAAAACTATAATTATCCTCGATTGAAACTAGTGTTAAAGCATCTCCAACGGAGAAATCATAATTTGAGAAGCTAAATGTTATTTTATCTTCTCAAAAGTGTTTTTACTATCTATTTTTTTATCAACTCTGACCATGACATGAGTATTATACACTTATTATTTTTAAATAATAAAATAATCTTATATTAATTTTAAATTTTAGAATATGAAAATGAATACAATATAGTATTATGATATTATGTTCTACCATTTTTTATAATATCTTATATATAACATTTGCAAAATGGACATGTATAAATAGTTGATGCAAAAGCTAATTTCGCTAATTAGGTAAACAATAGCACACACATTGGAGATCAAGTTTTAGTATAGGAATATGTGAAATTTCTATATTTTAGCATTTGATTTCTCTATAGGAGATAGTTTTAGTTTTCTCCACTAATCATAACTAAGAAAAAGAATTTTTCCCTCAAATTCCTGCTTATTTTATAGACTTTCACCTTTAAAATAATTTTATGTAATAAGTCTTGTAAAAACTTGTACAAATAAAGAGAACAACTACAAATTCATAGAAAATATGTATGAAAGTTTATATTATATGCCGTACATGTTTAATTGGATTAAAGTAACACACTCAACAAACCATTAATGATCGATTTTTAGTTCTCTCTCCGTCTATTAATTTGTGTCACATTTTTTTTTGCTGTCCAAAAATCTCATTCTTAATTTTTATTTTGATAAAAAACTTTTAATGAATACTCCCTCCGTCCCGCTATATTCGTCCACTTTTGACTTTTAGAATTGTTCATCTAGACACTTTGACTCATCAAATTTTCTCAATGTGTAAGCCTAAATATAGTCATGTATGATCTTGTTTGATTTGTCTTAACATATAGATTATTAATATATAATTTGTATAATGTTTTAATCTTCAAATTACACGATAAAATAGATTAAAGAAGTGTATTGTATGATGTGTAAAAATGAAAGAGGACAAATACTCTGGGACGGAGGTAGTATATCATTATACCCCATGTTTTTTATCTATACTATTTATTTCATTCCAGCCACACCGAAAAGAAATTTTAGAACGGGGAGTATTATATGTTGAGTAATGTTAGAGTCATAAACAAACCGTTCACAAAATTCACAAACTTATTTTTTTAACACTTTCCTAAAAATAAGATGCACTCAAATAATAAAAGATGTTTTAATTTAAAATTAAAAAAAGATTGTTTGTGAAATTTGTGAACTAGGGAGTATATGTTTGTGACTTGGATTTTTCTTATGTGTCCCAATTGAGTTTTTTTGGACGCAATAAAAAGCTTTGCGCGAGGAATTCGCCGCCACCTGTTTTCTTTTCCATCTAGCCGGCGGCGGTTGGGTTCGATGTTACAGAGACGTTTATTCTGCACCATCGCCGAAGCCAATTTGCACCCGAGCTCCAACGCCGTTCAGAACTGCGGTAAATGGGGCATCAAGCAAGTCACCAAGTCCAACTTCTCCGAGTCACTGGACGAGATCGGAGCCCGAATCGCCGATTCCGACTTCATCGCCGTTTCCTTACAGACGACCGGAGCTTACTCTTCTCCCTGGAAGCGTCATCTCCCATTCGACACCGCCGAAATCGGTTATCTCAAAGCCAGACACGCCGCCGAAAGGTTCCAGATTCTTCAATTCGCCGTTTGCCCTTTCTCCTTCCGGGCCTCCAAAGTCATTGCTCACCCGTAAGTATTCTTCACTGTTCAATTCCTCTTTAAAAAATGTCTATGTACTTAAGTTTATATGCATATGTTTTGTGAATTTTCATTGAAAGATGATACATTTATTACGTCTCCATTGCAGATACAATTTCCATTTGTTCCCTCGGGATGAGTTGAAAGTTGGGTTGCCTTCTTATAGTTTTTCTTGTCAGCCATCTTATCTGGTGTCACTTGCACGTGAAGGCTTCGACTTTAATGCTTGCATATAGATGATGGTGAGCTTCATTGACGTTCTTCTTTTTACTAGAAGTATAAATAATACCCTTTTCATCCCTCAATTTTTGTTCATTTTTACTTTTTTTATCCGTCTCACAAATTTTATCCCGTGTCATATTTTGTTCACATTCATTCGTAAGTTATCTTACCTTTTAACATAAATATCGAAAACACAATCTTACTTTTCATAATTTTCGTACCTTTCTCATGTCCCGAAAAATAGTGGGACGGAGGAACTATATTAATTCACATGGTACTTTATACATCAATTGCTTCATTTACATTATTCAAAATTTATTTTGATGTTGTAGTAACTTATATAAGAAAACTTATATTGACAATGTTTTAGCTTTGAGTAAAGAATGAACTAAATCAAAATGACTCATTAAACTTCCTTGCTTCTTGCTTTCCATGAAATTTTGGCCAATAAATGCAGCAATGCATCAAGGTTCTAAAAAAACAGTCTATGTTTCTCACGTGGTACGGTTGCAACAGTAGAGATTTTAGGAAAAACATGGCTCTAAATCTCAAAGTAATTTAGGCAAGTGAGTAGTGACATTTTTCGTGAGGAGTTGAGGGAGGAAAGATTAGAACATCATCTAATTTGTTAGGTCCACTGTGCCAGGCATATCATACTTATCCAGAGCACAAGAACTAGCTGCAAAAGATCATTTTAGGAATCCATCAGCTCCTAGCTGTACAATTTTATCTCCACCATCCCGATCAGTGGCTGATTCTATATTTGTAGAAAGGATCAAATCCCGAGTCAAACATTGGATAGATGCTTGCAATGATCTGGGCAAGAAACCCGAAGGTGATTTGAATTTGCTTTGCCTAATGATGAAAGTTGTTCATTTCTGATATATGTTAACATGTCATAGATGTTTTAATTAGTTCACTGAGGAGAATGATCTCTGCAATTGAAGTGCATGGTTCTAGGCCTTGCTTGAACATAGATACTTGCAGTCAGAGACAAGTGAATCTTGTGCTTGAGGTATTCTACTTCTCCCTTTTCACACAGTGATTCACCAATAATAAATTATAGTGGATTAATCGTGTTCATCTGTATTGGGTATGCTTTAGCATTCATCCTTTGGTGATAGAATTTTATCGTTGTGTCTGATTGCAGACACTGAAAGATTTTGTTGATGTTGTACCTCTACTAATTCCAGCAAATGGAAGTGGAATACAAACAGTCCGAGCGATATTGACAAGTTCACAAGAAGACAAGGATCTTTTTGAGGTGACACATAAATACATATTTTATTCATGTTGAATGTTTACCCGTCATCCATCACCTTGTGTTTTATTTACTTTTTTAATTCTATTGTAGAATGAACTTCAAGACATAGGAAAGGAACATAACAAGCGTACTCGTGGCTTTCGTGAAGTGGTTGAACTGATTGCCAGTTCTCAGAAGCCTGTTGTTGCCCACTATTCAATGAATGGTTAATCTCTCTGTTTTTTTTAGTTTAATGTTTTAAACATCATTGTTTTGGCTGCTTGCTGAATGTGAACTTTTCCAATTGCAGATTTTACATTTATTCATTCGAAATTCCTTGCACCATTACCATCAACATTGGATGAATTTAGAAACTCATTGGGCTCTGTCTTTGCTCACATTCTTGACGTGAAACATCTTAGTAAGGAGCTTGGCTTTCATAAGAATTTGAATAATGTATATGTGGCTACATCTTACCTCAATAGCAGGTTTTTTGCCCCAGTACGAGTAGAGAGTGCCCACCAAGGCAAGCACTTTTTTATGAATTTGTTAATAGTCTTACTCTTACTCCCCAATTGATGTTAATTAATGTGAAATTTGCACTAAATAGGACTAAAACATAAGTCATTTCCCAATGTAGGACTTAAACTTTTTTATTCCCTAAATAGTACTTAATAATGTCTAGTGGGAAGAATAATGTCCAGTGATGGCGAACATTTACTTGAATAATGACTAATGGATAATGACCCATGGTCCTACATTGGGAAATAAAAACATATGGTCCTATATTGAGAAAGTCAACCATGTAAATTTCACTTGATTAATTACAGTTCCACTTCACTTTTTCTACCATAGATAGGGATATGGGATACTATGATGCATGGATTACTTCTATTTAACAGCCACAAAATACTTCAGATGCTTATTTAAGAGTGCACCTAATTGATACCTTTTTCAAAAGAGCAATTTACATATTTACATTAGTCTGTTTATCCATAATTTATCCCAAACTGGCTTTTATTCTGCGTTAGTCTGTTTTAAAACCCATGTAAAAGACCTGCCTAGGTGCTCCTCTGGCCATCTAGCGCTTTTTGAACATTGACACTAATATCATCAATGGAGCTAGAAAAAGTCAATCTTGCTTCCATACACTGCAATTCCATTTTTGTCCCTACGCTCCATTAGGAAACATTCAAACATCCCATTGCCTCTCCTCTCTTCCGCAATGATTGACTCATTGACTAAACAAAAATGACAAGAGACACAAAATGCATGTCAAGACTAATAGAGAGACACAAACGAATACTCCCTATTTAATGTTTTTGTGTTTCTGTATTTGCTTTAGTAGGTATTTAGTGTCAAAATCTTATAGTCATCCTAGTACTCTTTTTTATTAAAATACTTGATCTGTTTCAAAGCAAAGTCACAAATAAAAAACAAAGGATATTAACAAAGGAAAACATGGGTATTAAGATACTTCCTCCGTCCCCTTGTATTTGTCCACTTTCATTTTTACACACCATCCAATGCACTTCTTTAATTCATTTTATCTTGTAATTTGTATATTAAAAAATTATAAAAATTATATATTAATAATCTATATGTTAAGACAAATCAAACAAGATCACACATGACTATATTTAGGCTTATACATTGAGAGAATTCGAGGAGTCAAAGTGCTTAGATGAACAGTTCCAAAAGTCAAATATAGACAAATACAGGGGGACGGAGGGAGTAAGTTTTATGTGATGTGATTGAAATAGAGGAAAAATGTAACAAAACACATTATGGTCTAGTGATACCCTTGTTGTTCTTCTAAATTAAAGGTCATGTGTTCAGAATTGACAATTTTCAATGATTGAAATCAATAGCCTTCAAAGAAGCTAAATCTTGAATCTAGACAATTTCTAAAAGCTACTGATTTTAATATTTTAAATTAGGGTTATACATAATTTGGGTCAAACTTATAAACTGAACCTGGATAATTGTTTCTGGGTTGGACCTGTTTCTAGTTAGTCCGGGCTTAGGTCCATTATTTTGAGACCTGTAAAATTCTGGTCCATTAGCCTATTTTATATTTCTACGCATCTAGCCCAATCCATTTAATATTTGTAGCCCACTCCATTTTCTAGCTCAAATTCCCAAAATGGCCAAATCCCCAGTAGCCAAAAACAAATACGGAGAAGTCTCACAATTCATGGAACCCATAAGCAGAGTCCCAATCATCGATCGCAAATTCCGATAGAGTATCCAGTTTCTACCGACGGGAGTAACAGACGGAGCTGAAGATCTGCCGGAGACGGCGCGACGCATCTGACTCGGTCGACTGTACGACTCACAGGTCAGATTCGAACCTCTTCGGTTTTTTGTTTCTTTTTTTTTTTTGAATTTTTTTTCTATCTTTCAGCTTGAGTGATTCTCAATCTTCTATAGGTGTTGAATTACTTCATAGTTTATTGTATCTCCCATTTTTATTTGTATATCTTTTTGTATGTAAAATATCATATAATTAATGTAAGTGAAGTCTGGCTCTAAATCAATTTTGCCATTTTTGTGTTAGACCTCTGCATATTTCAACTTTAAGCTTTCTATTGTTACTAAAAGTAGGAATAGAGCAGACTGGAGTCAGGTTCTTGAAGCTCCTTAGTCATTTTTATCTAAATCACTTTAAGTTTTCAATACTTTTCAGTTCTTGAAGCTCAAAAATTGCAGGCACGGCCAAGGGTTGGAAAACGATCGAATCGAATCGAATATTGTAAAATTTTATTCATATTTGAAAAATGATAGCATTATTCATATTCATATTCGTTTTTTATTCGAATAATTATTACTATTTGTATTCGATTTGATATTAAATTCAAATATTTGTATTCGTATTCATATTTCTTTTATGAAATACGATTTTTATTTTTTACGTTTTATAGCTTCAAAATGCAAGTTTACTGTGAATGCATTTTAATTCTATTTTGAGAATAAAAATATAAAAATCTTATTTTGGTTTATTTTCAATGTTTACTTTTACTTTAGTCTTTTTCCAAAAATTAATAGGGTACTAAAAAATAGCATGTCTACAACAACAACAACCTAGTTAGATCCAACGAGAGTAAAGATTGAAGAGGATGTGTGTAGGCACATCTTGCTCCTACGGAGTATTCTGTATTACGAGGCAAACATATATTAGATATAAATTTCTAGCTATATTTAAATTCGAATATATTCATTAACATATCGAATCGAATACATATACATTCGTATTTGTATTCATTTTTTTTTCGAATTCTAATAAATATTCACATTCGTATTCGTATTTATTTTTTCGAATACGAATAATTGAATTTGAATACGAATCACGAATCGAATCAAAATTATTCGTTTGTTTTACAACCCTAGGCACGGGTTCTTTAACTCAATTATCGTTTGATGTAAGTTTATTATGAATAATGCTCTTAGTATAATATGAATTTGAATTTGCTATTGAAATTTAATTTTTTTTCTTGTAATTGTGTTTGAGACTTGATTTGTAACATTTGTTACATGATACTAATTATAAAAACTAGGCTCAAGTTTTCTTTCATTTGTAACTGAAAATTTGTTTTTATATTGTTATCCAAAAGCCGAGTTTGACACATTACCAAATGCAATTGCAAATGTGTTTTTGTTACTCACCTATTTCCAAACTTTCTTTTGGTTTGAGTAAACCATGTTAGGGTTGAGCTTCTGATTTTGAATGGATTCCTGAAACTATTGAGGTTGATATATATAATTTAAAGGAAATGAAAACATTTTGTGTTCTTATTTAATCATTTAATCCTTTCTGAAATGAAAATGATTGGGTTTTTGAAACCATTTAAATAGCCAATAATCCTTTAATAGCCTTTGACAATTTTATCCGAATCCGACTTTTTTCGACCCGACCGAAGCATATAATATCCGAATCCGACCGAAAAATTTAAAATCCGAAACCGACCCGAAGATTTTAAAACCGAACCCGACTGTTGTCGGATCGGTTTTCAGTAATTAAATTTGACCGACCCGACCCGTACCTGACCGACCCGATAATCAACCCGAAATGTTTATACCTTAGTGTTTTAAAAAATAAAAAATCCTTTTTCAATTAAAAGTCCAAAGCTACAATCTTACGGTGTATCTCTGGAACCCTATCTCTCGGACTCTCGGTATCGACGGAAATCTCTCGACTCTCACTCTCGTATCCACAGCCCTCCTACCGGCGACCACTGCGGCACAATCTTCGTCGGCGACCACAGCGCACAGCGGCGATTCTTCATCGGCGACCGCACAGAGCACAACCTATCTCCTCCTCCAACGGTATCATCATGGATTCGAGTTTCAGTAGCCAATTACACACCTTTTTTTTATTTATATGGCCTTCTTCCCGATCTGCAGATTTCTCTTTTTCTGGGTCGGTCGGGTCGGTCGGTCGGTCGGGTTGGTCGGTTTTCAGGTCAGGTTAGGCTTAGGTTTTTGTCAAATTGTCGGGTTTGGTTGCGGTTTCAGGTTTCGGTTTGGGCATTCGGGTTCGGTTTCGGGTAGGAATTTATATCCGATGGTTCGGGTTCAGGCCAAAAAAAATATCTACTACGGATTTCGGGTTGGTTTTGGGTAAGGGTATATCCGAACCGAACCCGACCCGTTGCCATCCCTACTAAGAAAGCACGGAGAGGGCAAACCTCAAGAGAAGGAGCCATTTGCATCATCCCAGAGTTGGGATTATCTTGGTGTTGTTATTGTTGTTTTTTTTTGATAATGTAAATTGAATCAACTAATGCATTCAATATCTTCTAAAAAAATTGGCTATTGCCACCCTATCACACTATCTCACTTGCATTATTTTTTATGCACCAGAGTGCAAAGAAATGGCGATTAGTTACATGAGATCGTTCAAAACTGTCCCCTGTCCCAAAGAGATAGCCAGAGTGATTGGCTGCAGAACATTTGCCGCCGGAGGAGGCAAAGCAAAGAAGGGCTCAAAAGGAGGCGGCGCGACAGATGGCCCAAAAGTGTCCTCTCTGAGCAAGGAAGTGAAATCAACAACAGTCGTTGGTGCTAATATCCTCAAGGATGGAACAGACCCCAAGGTGTTGCCCGATAATGAGTACCCTGAGTGGCTATGGCACTTGCTGGATAAGAAGCCAGCACTCAGTGAGCTAAGAAGGAAAGACTTGGAGTCGCTTCCGTACGAGGAACTCAAACGCTTTGTCAAGTTGGATAACCGAGCTAGGATCAAGGAGAACAATTCTCTCAAGGCCAAGAACTGAGTGTTGTCGAAAAACCAGTCCTTGTAGAAGAAGAACAGCTTGGCTTTGAGAGACTTTGCTTCAGCAACCACCTGGTATGATTATCATCAACTGGAAAATGTCTCTCATCCTTCATTATTTAAAGCAAAATTTCTTTTGCATGTGGATGGTCTTACATCTATCTTGAGCTTTTTTAAAGGTGATACATTTTGAACTAGTTCCAACATAATCTTATTTATTTATTACTGGTAAGTTTCTTTTTGGTCTGTCACATACTCCTTATTTTTCTTCCCCTTTCCTTATTCTTTCCTTTTTTTAAAGGACTTCATGCACTAATTCATAGCTTCAGCATATAGCGCATCCCAATACAAACTGGTGGAACAACCATCCACTCTAGTAAGCAAATGAGAAAAAACAAAAACACAAAATTGACTATTTTACCCACAATCCATTACTACCTCATTTAATATCACTGTTCACATTTGTTTTTTTTACCTTTTTTAAAATTAACTACCCTAACAAGTGTAAAATAAGAAAGTCAACTTTTTTTAAAAAAAAATTGTATTAAAAATCTCGGTCTAGTCTAAATAGGAAGAGACATATGTTACGGAGTTCCTTTTTTTTTTTTTCGTTTCAAGATGTTGGATTTGTAGAAAATGTTATATAAATGGTTCTCTTCTAAGGCCATATGTAAGTGGAGCTTGACCCAAGGGAATGTCCCTTTTTTCAACCAATTAAAACCACATCCTCACTCAACTGCTTATGAGGCGTTTGTGTAGGGAGCTAGGGCTGGCAATCGGTTGGTCTGGTCGGATTTGGGTCAAGTTATTTTGGGTTCGGGTCAATTTGAGTTTGGGTTGAGAATTGTATGCTCATGATCCAGTATTATCGGGTTCGGTTTGACCCAACGAGTTATGACTTTGGTTTTTAGAATTTTTAAATTACATTAACACTTGTATTTTCTATTAAATAAATTTAAAATATAAAAAAAAGTACTAAATCTATTAGATTATTCTATTTTAAATCCTGAATCGTTTTTAGATATATACGAAGTATATATCAATGTAAGGAATTTAAAAAATGCTTAAGTTTTAGAAAAACTAAGATAATTATGCAGTATCATTAAAAAAAATTTCTGAAATTATAAATGTATACATTAAAAACGAGTAGTAAAGTATATGATTTTGAAAAACTGTTACTTTAGCTGGTCGGTCAGGTCGGGTTCGAGTTCGGTCGAGTTTGACTCATTTTTAGGGAGTCATTTCGGGTTCGGTCAACAAAATTTTTGTTCAAAACCCAGTGTTTTCAAGCCGTGTTTCGGGTCAAAAATAGGTCGGGTCATTTTTTTACAGGTCTATGTGTAGCAGTGTAGCTCAACACATTTTTTATACCAAGTAATTTCCATTTTTTTGTTGCTTTTGTGGTCATATTATGTGGTTTATGTACTTATTTTTTATAGAGTATTTTTATAGTTTAATGCATTTTTTAAATTATGAACTATTAAAAGAAGTGAAAATGTGATTGAATTTGATTTGAGTTTGAGTTTTGAGTAATTGCTTAGAGTTGATTTACTCCATTTTAAGCTTGTATAATATTTTAAGATTGAAGTAAAGTATTGGAGATGGTATTAAGGTAGACTAGAAGTCAAAATAAGAACTGTTTTAAAGAATGAAGAAAATATATTTTAGCACTAAATATATCTGGTAATAAGAATTTTAAAATTTTTTGGGGTGAATCTCTATTTTTTTGTTTTTAAAAATTAAACCAAATTTTGAGGCCCAACATATAGTGTACAAAGAGATTTTTCTAAATATTTGAATTAAATGTCAACTTCTAAGTTTTTGTTACGCTAGAATTTTTAGTTTAAAGTACTAAAACTTTAAAAACCATTGATTTCAATTTATATCTTGAATTATGGAGGAGCTACATTCTCTTGGATTGCATGAATGGAGTAACTAAGATTTTAAGATTTTATGTATGAAATGAAGAAATTAAAATGAAAGTCTAAAATAAATAGAGAGAACTACATAGTATAATTAATATAAAGCTAAGTATTAATAGAGATTGTGAATGATTTCAATTGATGTAGATTGTAATGAAGCACAAATCAATAATATACATCCATTTATATCCTAAATTATTATTGATGAAAAAAGAAAAAATCTCAATAAATGAAGAATTTAATAAAGAATATACTTACATAAATAGACATATATATTTTTAATTGAAGGATAATATATATATATTTATTGAAGACACACACACACAGATATATATATATATATATATACACACACACACACACATACATACATACATACATACATAACATATATATATATATATATATATATATATATATATATATATATCTCGGTTATACAAAAAATTATACTCCTAGATATAATTTATGTTAAACTCTAAAAATTAATTTTTTATTTTTTATATTCCTCACACAAAATTATATTTCAAGTATTATTCATTTTAAGTTTTTATATTTTTTCATTTATTATTTTCATCTTAAATTGTACTAGTTGTATATAACAAAAATAATACTCCGTATATAATTCTTGTGAATTTATATTTTATTCTCAAATTAATAATAACATACTCCTTTCGTCCCAAATTATTTGCCACATTTGCTTTTTCAACTGTCACGGGTATTTTTGTTTATTTCTACGTTTTCATTGGTTATTTGATAAAATAAAATATTCTTGACAACTCTTATTTCGAAGAACTTTTCATGTAGTTTTTGATATGTAATTTTTATTTTTTATTTCTTTACCAATATGTAAATAAAATAAATTGAAAAACTTGATATTTTATCTCGGTAATAAAAATAGGACAAATAATTTGAAACGGAGGGAGCATCAAAATTAAGAAAAATTTTTTTATAGAAAACCTCGACTACGGAGTATGAAATATTGAATGTTTTATCAACATTCCGATAATTCCATAGAGGCCTCAGGCGCCCAAGCGCTCACTGTCTGGCGTAGGGGTGTTCATTTATAGGTCCGGACCGGAAAAACCGACCGAAACGGACTGATCGGTCCAGACCGAATCCGAACCAAAAGGATTTCGGGTCAAAAATCACCACTCAAATGCCCCAACCTTATTCCTCGTTTTTAATGTTCCGTTCAAAAATCACCACTCAAATGCCCCAACCTTATCTGTAATTCCTAAAGACCTTAATCGCCAATTCGCCATCGCCATTCGCCTCAATCGCCTGTGTTGTTCGATAGATCGAGAGCGTGAGAGCCAAGAGGATTCGCCGTCTCGCTCGTCAGTCCCACTCTCCACTCTCGAGTCTCGCCCGCTGCCCAGCGCCGACTCGGCTACTCCCTCGCCTGAAATTCTCAATCCTCGAGTGCCTGAGACGCCCACTCCCTCAATCCCAATTGAATCAGCTACGGGTACTCATCTCGCCTCCTTCTCTGTAATCCCTAGTCTCCTTCTCTATTAGGTTTCTTCTTGTTAAATTTTTCCCATGTTATTTGTAGGGCTTAGCCAAATTGTATTATTCTTAGACTTTGTTTCCAAATAACATTTGAAACTTTTGAATTTGGCTAAAGTATTTAAGCAAAGATGATTTTCAATTCTTAAAAAAAAAAAAATAGCAATGTCAATTGTTTAAAAAAACTTGGGAGTTCTCTGATTTTTTTTTAAAGATGCATAGCTGATTTTTTTAAAGCTGCACGGCTGATTTTTTAAGATGCACTGCTGATTTTTTAAAGGTGCACATGACAGCACTTATATGTACTTTTAAGGTGCAGATAAGTTTGGATTGGCAATTAGAGGTCACACCCGTAAGTTTGTGGGCAGAAACCTCATGCTCTTTGTCCATGTTCAGTTTGGATTGGCCCTTATTTCTGGCAGAAACCTCATGCACTTGTATGTCATTTTTTTTCCCAGGTTTGATTGTGTGAAGCATGAAGGGAATGGTGAATGGATGTTGCTAGTTACTATTTGTTTTATGGAATTACATTTTGTAGTGTTTTGTTTGTATAAGATTAGAAAAATTCAACTGAAAAAAAAACATTTCGGTCTAATCGGTCTTTTCAGGTTCGGTCTAAGAGTTTTCGGTCCGGACCGGTCCAAGACCGACTGTGAATAGGTCCGGTCTTCGGTCTTATATTTTTCCAATTTCGGTCTTCGGTCGGTCCGGTTCGGTCTGGTCCTGGACCGATGAACACCCCTAGTCTGGCGAGTCTCAATTCGTCTTCACTCTTCACAGTCCGCCAACCTCATATCCATCCAAACACTACGGCGGCCAAGCACAGCGTGGCCGATAAGGCGATAACAATGGATGCTCTTTCTTTATGCTTCTCTATTCCCCCTCCTTCCCCACACCACTGCAAAACCCTAATATCAAAGCCCTACTTCACCCCTCTTCGATCATCTCACCCGACCCGGAATCTCACTTCTCATTGCTCCAATTCGCCCCAAACCCACGACTGCAAAAACCCTCACCTGCCCCCTCTCGCCGGCGCTAATCTCTCATCCTTCAATCTCTTAGATATCCATCCGAACCCCCATTTCATCTCTTTTTTGATGGGGTTATCTTTCCCCCTTTCGTGTCTTGCTTCTGAATCCGATGTGCCCACTGAAGGGATTTCCAGTAAGATCGACTTGGAGGCAATTTTGGTCTCCATTGATAATTTCTTGACTAGATACCCCTTTTTCCTTTTCGGGGTTGGGTTCATTTGGCTTGTGGTGATCCCGCTGACTGAGGAGTACTTGCAGAAGTACAAGTTCATATCTGCCATTAACGCATTCAAGAAGCTCCGGAATGACCCGAATTGTCAGATGTTGGATATTAGGGACAAGAGAGCTTTGGCATATTTGGATTCGCCAAATTTGAAAATCTTGAGTAAGAAGGTGTTGCAGGTTCATTTCGTTGAAGGAAAGGAAGATATTTTTGTCAAGGAAGTTTTGGAGAACTTTCGGGAGCCAGAAAGCACCACAGTTTGCATCATAGATCAGTGAGTTTTGCAGAGCCTTATGATATGCATAAAAGTTTCTATTTTTTTCTGTATGCTTGTTGAAAATACATTATTTTGAGTTGCTATGAAGTTATGTGTCTTGTAGTGCATTATAGTTAATGGTGTTTGAGGGTTTTCCCTGCCAATGCCAATGGAGCTTTAAAAAATGGAACATTAAAATTTTGTTTCTTCTGAGACCCTACTTTTGTGGAATCAAACTGGGTTGTTATTGTATTGTTGTGAACTTTTGTTTCTTCTTACTTTCTGTGAAGTTTTGGGCAGTAAATGAAGCAATGCATCTAGGGTTTAATGTAAGCAGCCTCCCTATTTTTTAGGGGTAAGACTGCATGCATCTTGAGCCCTAAGGGAGTTAGGATTATACTATCTTGTTGTTGGTATTTGCGGATTTTGACAAATAATGTTTTGACTCCTGTGTGGAAGGTAGTTTCGATGGTAACTCACTCAAGGTGGCTGAATTGTTGGTGAAAAATGGTTTCAAAGAAGCCTATGCAATCCGTGGTGGGCTGAGAGGCAACAAAGGATGGCAGGTTATTTATCTATCTATCCTAAAGTAAATATACAGAATATTTATGTTTGGAAAACATGTATACAGTCGAAACAGTTGCATTGTATATTTACACTAAAATATGCTAACCAAAAAATGGAAGTCATACCAAAAGTGGAAACAAACTAATAGTCGTGGACTCGTGGGACAAAAAGTGTAAAATTTTGAAGGTAATGTTTATTACGGTGTACTTCAAAAGGAAATATAGCAAGTCGGGAGTGTTCTTTGTGACTTCCAAAATGGGAAAGTGCAGAGTGTTTTTTTTGGGACGGAGGGAGTATATACCTCAGCTATTTTTGGTGTAGATTACTGCGAATCTTAAGATTTTGATCCTCATGTTCTAGTTCTGACTTGACTTATAATTGAATGAAACACAATTAACCATCTATTTACATTTCATGTTGATTTGTTGCAGGAGATACAAGAATCACTTCTCCCTTTATCTGTTCGTGTCTATCCCAAAAAGAAAAACAAAGAACAAAAAGAGAGTGGTATAGATGCAAACCAGCCAGAGGAAGAAGACACGGATTCTGGCATAAAAAGAAGTGAACAGATTAGCAATGGATCTGCTACAAAACCCAGCCAACTCATCCCACAAACACAAAGTGGCGTGTCCCCATATTCGAATGTATGAGCTCTCTTCATGTCTCAATAAACAAAAAGGAAGGGGAAATAACATTTTACTCCTTTCCATTTTTCCTTTTGTTGGGCATCCCAAAACAATCTTCTCATTCCATTTGAAGAGACATGTGGTTCATATTCTTTCTCTCACGTACACAAACATTGCACACACAATTTCACCTCTCCATATCCAAATGCATGAACTCTCTCTTCTCTCAATACACAGAAAGAAAAAAACCCCATTATTTGCACACACACACCATGAAGTATGAAAACCGGACGGTAATGTTTTATTAAACCGTCAACCATATCTTGAATATATGGCAAAACATATACTGGAGTTTATGCTAGTAAACCAGAAAAAGTGCCCATCTAGAAGTGAAAGGCCACTTATTTTATCTCTTGGAAACAGCCTCTTTTTGTACACTTCCCTCCCTAGATCCTACTTTTTTGTGAGTATCATGATTTGGCTATGTTATTGTGGATTTCAGGACCCAGCTTTGAAGCCACCATCCCTTTGAATCCATCAAAGTGTTCAAGTCGATGAATGAATGTGGACGGTGTGATGGGCTATGGCCAAAAGTGTTGATTTTTTCTATCATGGTGGGAATTCAGAGATAGAAAGCTGGTGGCTCTATTCTTGTGAATGTTGCAGACTAAATTTATACTCTGTACTTGGTACATTGTAAATTTTAGTGGAGTATTTGACAAGTGAATTTGTATTTGTAATGATGATGAAGAAAAAAATCTCTTGAGGAATGGCAGCAAGCAAATTTCTGTCTTTTACAATGCAGCAATTCATTTAGTTTGCAGTTGAAACAACTTACATAGTATCTGTGTTTTAAATATGTATAGATTTTGCCCTCCTGCACCAAAATTAGCTGATGGATTAACTTGTCTGTTTCACCATTCGCATGTTCGAATTTTATTCACTTTGTTTTTCTATTTTTGTTACGGAGTACTAATTTGATAATATAATATACTCACGTTATTCCTCGTTTCACAGATCTTTTTATACGGAGTATAATTTTTTAATATGCAAATTTATTTTTAATTTGCTCATAATTTCAAATAAACTGTATTGAGAACGACTTCAGTCATATTTAATTCATAGGGGAGTATATAAATTGAAATAGACGATTTAAATTGGGACGAAAATACTAGTTAGTTTGGTCACTTTTCACACATTAAAGTCAAATGGAGAATTTGTTTTGGCCAAACGAAAGACCAGATTGAAATTGTACCATGATTTTCTTTCATCACAATCCTGTCACGCCGGGGTGTGGGGGCGCCTCGGTGGCCGTACCACCTAAATAGAATTTTGTTTTGGGTCTATGACTTTTTTACCGAGAGACCTTCATTTTATCAATACCTAGAACTCTATTTAGAAATATATATCTAGAAATATAGTGGTGTACAGGGAGTTATTTTTTTATGCATCTCTAGCATATTCAGAGGGAGTAGAATGAAAGTCCTCCCCATAATAGTGGTGTTATGGTGTACACTATTAATATATAAGTTTGATGTAGTAATTTTAAAGTATTTTTTATCTAACTTTTATATTTTATAAATGTTATTTAATTACTCCCTCTATTCTAATATATTTGTCTAGTTTGACTTTTTTGAGTCAAACTAGATGAACTTTAATAATCAATTATTCTTAATTTGTCTTGTATATCAATACAAGAAATTAAAATTTTAATAGTTTTCAACAAGATAAAGCTATTGAAATAATTTTTATACTCCACTAAAATACATTACTATTTTTATTTAATTTTGGTTCAAAACTCGTTCAGTTTGATTCAAAAAAGTTAAACTAAACGAATATACTTGGATGAAAGTAGTATAAGTTAAAAAGCGAAAATAGCTGGCCACACAAAGTTAAAAGGAAAGAAAGTAGTACTTAGGGATGTGCGGATGTGCCCCATTCTCAAGGCCTCCGCAGAGCTGGTCGGACGATTAATAAGATTAAGCAAATTGATTTTTAATCACATATTGGTTGCAGAATATGAAGCATGTACTTGATATTTGTAGAAGACTTATACATATCATAATTACCTGAGTTGTCAAAAATCAAATTCGGAACTACTCCTTGACACTCTATGCCTTGCCAAATGCCAATCATCTGCAAAGTTGTTTTCAAACACTATGTGGAATTTGGGAGTGCTCTAAAACGCGGAACCCTTGTTTTACACACAACTGGCAATAACCGGTTAGGAAGCATGGCTGACCGGCTACAGCACACCCTAACCGGTCAACGACTATAAAAATCCCCACTCGGGTAGATAAGCTCCAGCCACTGCCCCCCATTATAATCTTCATCGCACGCCTCTTCTCTCCTCATTACAAATCTCAGCTTCGATCCTTCACACATATATATTCTCTCTCTAAAACATATATATGTAGGTGTCTTTGTATATATAAACCTTGTATTTCAAATCTTTGGCGCTCAAGATTTCATTTTTTTTTCATTCGGATTTTTTCCCAATCTTGTTATAAATAAGCTCGATCTTTGGATCGAGATCTTTTGTTTTCTGAGAAATCGTAGGTTGTGTAGGGTTTTGTTTCATGTATCGGTGTATGAATAAATTAAATTATAGTGGAAGTTTATCGGAATCTTTGAATCTTCGTCTTGAATTTTGATTTTGTGCTTTGACCCGGAACCCGAATTAGGTTTTTGATTTGATTTTGGGATATTACTAATCGAACTGATTCCTTAAAAAAGACAGTTTGGAGAATACTTATAAACAGAGGGAAGAAAGAATGGCGGATACTAATCAGCCGGGAATGGAAGGGAGCCAGCCGGTGGATCTTTCCAAACACCCGTCTGGAATTGTGCCCACCCTCCAGTAAGTCTCTTTTCCTTTCCACGGGTTTTAGAACAAGTTGAGTTCTTTGTTCAGGTGCTATGAATGCTATTACGCTTTACAAGATGAAGTGAGGAACGAAACCGCTAAAATGTTGATACATTGATTATGGATTTGATATTAATATAGTCAACATTCAAAAACAGATATTGGTTGTGCAAGCCCATAATACCATTTCAATAATTTTGTGAATTTCATAACCATCAACACTACAAAATAAGAACATCAACACGTTAACCCCGAAAATGTTGTAATGAAATTTAGTATGAATGATGGAAAATGTAGTTATGTTGGTGGCAGTGTAATGAAATTTTACGTTAATAAGTGAAAATATAGTTAATATTGCACAAAATTGTATGTTGACCTTTTATGTAGTAGCTCTCGGAGTAAAGATTCTTCTAGTGGTTTAATTTTCACAAGATGATCCACTCCCCCCTCCACCCACCCTAAATAAGAGAAAAGGGAGGAAAAGAAGTGGTTGATAAGGAGATACAACAATATTGATCGAGTGTGTGCAAAATAATGTGGAGAGACACCCTTAAACACATCACTTCTATTGATATTACGTTTATAACACAATTCAATGTATTTTTCCTATAATTTGTTGTCAAAATTTTAAAATGTTGATGAAAAAGCATTTCAAAGAAACATAGTTAAGAAATATTTCAAAATCACAAAGGGATTAACAAATTAAATTATTTAACATTTTAAGAATTTATGTTGATTCTATAATGATAGTTAAAATTTATTCTGAGGTCAAGGTAATTTTTTTATTTATAATTTGTGACGTTACATCAATGTTTCTATTCTATTGTTATAATAACAATAACAACAACAATAAAAATATGAAAATATACTTAAATAAATTTTCTAAGTCATTGTTGGCCCAAAATTGAAGGAGTTGGAAGGAATTGGAAAAGGTTGGAAGATACTGGAAGGAGTTGGAAAATGTTGGTAAGTTAAGAGTCTGAACTCAAACCAATTGAGCCTTGGTAGAGGTGGGGTTACACATGAGAACTGCCCTTAGTCCTTTCATGTTTGCATCGGTGCTGGATGTTCTGATGTAGCATGTCTAGTGGAGGTACCTTGGTGCATGCTATTTGTTCATGATATTTTATTAATTGACAAGACACATGAAAGAGCAATGATACTTTGGGAGCGCGGCGTCATCAGGACTAAGATTGAACAAGTAGAATGTGTCTTTAGTGGTCGGGCGACTGAGTCTGAAGTCGAAGTAATGATCGACTCACACAATGTCAGAAAGAACCAAGTTTTGGTAACTTGGCTTGGTTATTCAGTCAGAAGGGGGGATAGATGAGGATGTTTTTCATTGTATTAGAATTGTTTGGGTAAAGTAGAAGCTAGCTTCAAGTGTCCTTTACGACAAATGGGAAAATAAAGTTTTATCGGATAGTCGTTAGAGTGGCAATGTTATACGGAGCAGATTGTTGGACCGTGAAGAAAGCTCATGTTCGTCAGCTCTAAATGGTAGAGATGAGGATGTTGAAGTGGAAGTGTGGTGAGAGGCTTGTAGCAATGGGCATGAGAAATGGTAGAGGTAGACCTAGTAAGAGTTGAAAAGAACTTACTACCTCAAGATTTTATTGAGGGTATGGCCTTAGGCCGAGGTAAGTTGAGCATGTTAAAAGGAGAAGTGTACAAGCCCCAGTGCAGAGATACAAGAGGCTTGCAACAATGGGCTTGAGAAAGGATAGAGGGGTGATTTGAAGAAAACTTATGACCTATGATATGACCTTAGATGAAAATGTTTGGAGATTTTGGAATAGAGTAGTTAGGTAGAACTTTGAGCCTTAGTTTGTAGTTTATGCGGATGTGTTTTTACCCTATACTGTAGCTTTTGGATGTGTGCTTTTTGTGCTTTGAGTCCAGTTGCTAGTGTTAATTTGTGTTTCATGTCTCTATGCACTTTGCTCTTACACTATTTATGTTACTATGTTTATTTTGTCTATTTTTTAAATTTTATTTTGTACGTGCATCGGTGTTTGATTTGGGATCTCGAAAACAACATCTGTACTTCCAAGTAGGGGTAAGATTTGTGTACACACACCTTCCTCTTACCTAACTTTTGTGGGATTTTATAGGGTTTGTTGTAATCGTTATTGTATGGGCATGTTAATGTTGTAGGAATATTTCCAGATTTTTGTGCAACTCAAAAAAGAAAAATGGTGTTTGTGTTGTCAAAATTTAAGTAGAACCAATGACTTTTTTTAAAATTTATTTTAACGAAGTTAGAGGGGAGGGGGGGTAATGCTCTTTTGGGATCTCAATAGTTTGCTCGCACAGTCGCACTCTTAGTAATGATGGCCGATGGGAGCACTTGCCCTTTATTCTGAGGTAGTAGGGTTTGAGGTTTCTTGAGAGAGATAATATCATCTACAGCCGAGAAATGAGAGTTGAGAGTTGATGTAATACTACTCCGTAAGTTCGAAATAATATTTAGGAACGTAATTAAATCGATGATTTACTAATTAATAATTTTTGTAGATTTTAATATATTAATTTTATTTTAAAGTTTTGCACGAATAGTTAAGTAGATTGAATTAAAAATAATTTTAGTCAAACATATCAAATTGATATGAGAAGATAATTTTGGGACGGCAGGAGTCTAATCTTTGAAATAAAGTAACCTTTGACCAACATATGTTTATAAAATGTTGGTAAGGTACACGGGTAAAACAATGCAACCACTATGAAATGATAATCATACTTATATTTTTTTTTAGTTTATTTTTTTTAGCTTAACTAAATGTAATATGTTTTTGCCTCTTTTGGTGGATTTACAACAAATTGAAACATTACCCATTTTGCTGGGTATGGAAAAAGTACTCATAACCATTTCTAATGCTTGTGTTGTGGATCTAACTGCGTGTTGCTTCCTATTCCAGGAACATTGTCTCAACGGTCAATTTGGATTGCAAATTGGATCTTAAGGCTATTGCATTGCATGCTCGCAATGCAGAATACAATCCGAAGGTATTTGATGGATATGCAACCATTAATTGGTTTAAAAATACGAAGTATCTAGTGTTTTATGCTTTTTATGTGTGCTTGTAGTTTATCTTTACTGAGTGGCAGTTTCTTTTTAATTGTGTGTTTGTTCCAGCGTTTTGCTGCAGTTATAATGCGGATAAGGGAGCCAAAAACTACAGCTTTGATCTTTGCATCTGGGAAAATGGTAAAAATGTGCACTAATCCGTCTATACAGAGTTGTATAGTGTACTTCCTACTTGTGTACTACCCCATCATTCATATGAGTGTATTCCACCATTTGGCATTCTATTGTAGTGATTCTTTGTATTTGGTCAATCAATTTTGACTTTTCCACATTTATATCTTTTCCCTTTAAAATGTTTCACTTTTAGTCAAATTCCTTCATATAGAGTAGGGTGGAGTCTTGTGAAATTTTCACAAATGAGCAATTTGGACATATGACTTTAACGTCTTAAAGTGAATGTTTTAAGTTGATGATCATACCTACAAAAAGGTCAAGTGAGAAATTAAAGTGGAAAACACAATATAAGTGACCAAAGTAAAATTAATTTAAATTTAAAATTTTCTGATCTTTTTGCCCGAATAATGTTCTGAAATCAGGTTTGCACTGGAGCAAAGAGTGAAGAACAATCAAGGCTTGCAGCAAGGAAGGTTTGTGAGTTGATGTAATGTTGTAGCCTCGCATGGGGTTTGATTGAAACTCGAAAGGAAAAATAAAATACAAAATTTCCGATTTCCGAATGTTTCATTTTCTGATTGTCCACAGTTTTCAAGATAATTATCTTTTATCTTTCCTTTAAAAAGTAAAGAGCTTATGCACTAGTAATGAAACGAATGAAATTTAAGTTGTGATTGATTTGCCTCTTGTAATCCAGTATGCACGTATCATCCAGAAGCTTGGCTTCCCTGCCAAATTTAAGGTATGCCTCTCTTCTTTTTGGCATCATCTGGTGAAATGCAATCTCAAATGGTTCATTTTTTGTACTCCCTCCATCCCACAAAACATTACCCATTTTGAACAGTATTTGGTCAAACAGTTACACGCTTTGACTACAAATTGTGAGAAAAATATATTAAATTATAATATAAATTTAATATAATTGGATTCATCTTAGGATTTAGTTTTGATATATCAGATTTTTATAACATTTCTTTATTTAGATTATATTTAATTTATGGTCAAAGCGTGTAACTATTTGACCAAAAATACATCAAAATGGGTAATGTTTTGTGGGACGGAGGGAGTATAATTGTACGTGCATAACATGATTTTGCCATCCTTATTGGATCACAGGATTTTAAGATTCAGAACATAGTTGGCTCATGTGATGTGAAATTCCCCATCAGACTTGAGGGTTTGGCTTATTCTCATGGTGCATTTTCAAGTGTAAGTATATTTCCCAATTTTTTTTCTGTTAAATAATCATTTCATGAGTAATACTTATTTCTTTTCTTTTGATGCAGTATGAGCCAGAACTGTTTCCAGGATTAATATACCGGATGAAGCAACCAAAGATTGTGCTTCTTATCTTTGTGTCTGGAAAAATCGTTCTCACGGGAGCAAAGGTGAAACATTTATTTCCTTAAACAGCTTATGTCTCTCTGCCCTAATCCCTGAGATGCTCAATCATGTACTCTTTTTTATCAGGTGCGAGAGGAGACGTACGCGGCTTTTGAAAATATTTACCCAGTGCTTACAGAGTTCAGGAAGAACCAGCAGTGGTAAGCATAACCGTTCCCTTCTCCTTTCCTCCCCTTAGGGCCTGTTTGGCTCACGGGGAAGTGAGGCAAAGATGATTTTTGATGGTACCATTGATTTTGTTGGAGGGGAACTCCAACCCTTTTGAAAGTTTTTGAACCAGATGAGGGGCACGGGTTTATTTAACCTTTTGTCCCTTCAAATACCTTTGAATCAAATTGGCCCTTGGGCTGTTTTTTAATTTAGAGGTTTTAGGGGAGGGAAGGAAAGGTAAATTGCTCACCTCCCATCATTTGAAAAAGAGATTTTGGAGAAAGAGGACGCAAAGTTCTCCTCATGTTTTCCTCACCCTCCAAATTGGAGTTGTTTTGTAAGCAAAACATAAAATACACGAAGAACGTGTACCCACCCACCCCCCTCTCCTCACTCTCTTTACTTGAACCAAACACACCCTAAGCCCTAAGGCATATGCTCCATAATTCGCGCTCTACCATCTTGGTTCGACGTATTATTCAAAAAGTTCATTTTGTTTTACACAGATGCTTAGTCATGGTATCCACAGCCTAAATGGAGGGGGAATACTTCTTCCTTTACTTGGTGGCATTGGCACATGGAATGTGAATATCTGATGGTGTGTCCCTTGGATGGAGCTCTGCCTGCCCTTTGGCACCTCAAAGTAAAAACCTTAAGGTAGTGTTTGGCAACTAGCATTTCATTTCAATTCATGTATTTCAATTCCAAAATTTGAAATCCTGAATTTCAAATGACAAGGGGAGATGCATGGATTTCAAATTAAGCTTGGTTTGAATGTAAAGAATTTGATTCAAATCCAAATTCAAAATGCTTAAGTTTTCCAAACATGGAATTTAAGCCAAATCCGGATTTGAAATCCAAATCCATGTTTCCAAACATACCATAATATAAATCTTTCTCATGTTTGCCTCTATGTTCTGGGGTTCTCACATCTGCCTGAGTTACTACTGTATAAATGATGGATAACTGGCATTTCTTCTCATGGCCATATGTATTTGAGAAGCCTGTCTAAATGCAATCAAAATTTTGCTTTCAAATGCACCAACATATGTCTCCTAAAAAATCATTTTCCATCACGAATAATTTTTGTGCGCAAGTCATTACTTCGAATAATATGTTGTCGGAACTCTTTTCACAGGCCAACGATACGAAATGTTTATTGCATGTATAATTTTGACGTTTTGTCTTGCTTATATTTTTTCGTCAAATGCTTCCAAACTGAGCAAGCTGTGTTTTATTATTACGGAGTTTATGTTTAGAACAAAACACGTTTTAATTTTGAATTATGCTAACGTATTCTAGTTTTAAATTATACATTTTTTATACTGTGTTATAGTTAGCAAAATCATATGGGTTGATACTGCATTATGGTAATTTAAATAAGCACTTATATAATTTTAAAAGGAAAATTTGATATAAATAGTTTAAAATAAACCCAAGAATTGGTTAACTCAAATTAAACCTTACTAATACGGGTATCAGCTCATATTACAATCAATTACCTTTAACATGTTGAACTTGTATTTTTTTAAAAAAAAAAATTCCCATTTCTTCTTTAAGGCCAATCCTCAAATTCATCTTCTCAAGGAAATTATTCTACAACATCATTCATCCGAATAAATAAAGCTTTTTATTTGGTTTTTTTATTAAGTATTATGAAATCCTAATTGCCCATTAAAAAAAATCTTGTTTGCATTGAGTTATGGTCAATGGTATGCGGAGTATAATTTTTTACGGGGTATTACTTTAGTTAAATTAGGGTTTTTGAAGTATATATTGTTTACGCCTTTAAGGAGTGTTATTGGTAAAACTTAGGGGTTTTGTTAACTAAAAATTTGTAATTTGTTATATTGTATTCATTGAATGCAAATTTTATTCTTCTATTCTCTCTATTAATTTGATTTTTCACAGTTATCAATATAACACTTTGACTATTAATATTTATATTTTTTAATGAATATATTTTATGAAAATTTAATATTTTAGAATTACATTTCATGGAAAGATACTCATAAAAGAAGGACTGCGTGAGTAATATTTGATAATAGAAGATTAAATATAGAAATTCCTCTGTTATAAAGGACCAATTAGAAATTTACTCATACTTTTAACTTTCAATTTAATACTAACATGACATGAGGTCAAAAAAGACTATCCGTTAAAAAATACTCATATAAGAAGGACCACTTAAATAATATTTAATTATAAAGGATTAAATATAAAAACTTAGTGTTATAAAAGACCAATTATAATATTAGAAGAATGTTAGAGTTACAAAAATATAAAAAAAAAATGGAGTACACAATATTACTATTTGTACATCTCCTCAAGAGATCGAAATGATTTTTAATATTTAAAAAATACAAATTTAATTACGCACGCACAAATTTGTATACTTTGCGACTCTAGCATTTCTCGACATATTAACTATAAATTAATAAGAGAAAAATTTGAAAAGAATTACATTTTACAAGAATGACTTAACTAAAAAATACCTTTAAAAGATGGGAAAAATCATTCATTTTAAGATATTGTTTTCTTCGTCTAATCGTAGTAGCTCTTATCTCATTTTATTAAAGTCTGATCTAATCTAGCATATTTTGATCCGATCTATTTGGAACTATATTTCTAATCATTTCTAGTATAATCTGATCTAATTACATTGTAAATAAGTACACCAAGGTTCAAGTGACATTGGACCTCAATGTCATGGGATGACCCGGGGCGCTCCGGTACCCCGTTTGTAAAATTGACGGTTCCTACCCCCCGACAAACCCCCCAACCCGGCCCCGACCCAAACACACCTCCCCACCCCCTTCAATTGCACCCCACAAGTTGATTTTGACTTTGGAGTCAAAATTTGACTCCAAAGTCAAAATCAACTTGTGAGGTGCAATTGAAGGGGGTGGAGAGGTGTGTTCGGGTCGGGGCCGAGTTGGGGGGTTAGAGGAGGTATGAACCGTCAATTTTATGAACGGGATTCCGGAGCGCCCCCGGGTCATCCCATGACATTGAGGTCCAATATCACTTGAACCTTCCCTAAATAAGTAATACGGAATAAATAACTAGAATAAATTGAATAAAATAAATTACTCCGTAAAACATTCTCGTGGGCGAAAGCGTATTTTGTTTTGTGTTACCGGCCACATTAGAAAACAGTTGAGGTCTTCTAATAAAAGAAGAGAACTATGCGCAGCAGAATCTATATATATACGCTCATACGGATCCTGCAAAACATACTGAACGATAAGTCTATGCATACATCCTCGCCATGGGAGCCAGTCGAAAGCTTCAGGGAGAAATTGATCGAGTGTTGAAGAGGGTTCAGGAGGGCGTTGATTTATTCGACAGCATTTGGAAGAAGGTGATACTTGTTTGATTTCTTAGTTCTGCATCTTTCGATTTATTGATTAAACATCTGTTATTGATTTCCCGCATTGTATCAAATTGATTGATTTTTTGCGTCAATTTTGTTTTGCTCGATTTTATGGCTAGGTTTACGACACTGATAATGCCAACCAGAAGGAGAAGTTTGAGGCGGATTTGAAGAAGGAGATCAAGAAGCTGCAGAGGTACAGGGACCAGATCAAGACATGGCTTCAATCCAGCGAGATTAAGGATAAGAAGGTTCCCTTCCGCCACCTTTTTGCCTCTTCACTGTACAGGTTTTCCATATGTGTTCATGTTAGTGTGACATACAACTTTGCGAGCGTATCGTAAGTAAAGTTACATCCTCCAGTCCTTCATATAAGAGACCATTGTCTATTTCTCGAAAAATGTGGACTCGTTGATTAGATTACTTAAAAAATCTGAAGTTTTTGTTTATCGTCAAACTATGCTTACCTAAATTAGTAAAATGTAGTACTCCCTTTGTCCCATTTTAAATTGCATGTTTGTCTTTTTTCTCCGTCCCAAAATAAGTTGCATGTTAGTTGTTTTCGTAAACTTTTAAAAATAAAATACCTAAACTACCCCTAAAATAAGTCATTCTTCTTCACCTTATCTTCTCATTCATTGTCACCCCTCTTAAAAAGTAATGGCAATTTCGTAAAATCAACTTTATTTTTTATTTTCCTTAAATATGCCCAAAAGTCAAAACATGCGATTTAAATTGGGACGGAGGGAGTAATATACACCAAATGATATAATTGCGAGACTTATTTTCAAACCTTCGTTTCTCCTAAAAAAGTAAACTGTCCCTTTTATTGAGGACCGGAGGGAGTAGTAAATATTTTGTTACTCGTAAGCGAATTATGCTTGGTGTCATGAAGGGTGCCTTTGAATGTGGCTGAATTTTCCCGGGGTTATGCTACAGACTTACATTCTAGGATTTCTAGCAAAGTGGAACTCTTTGCTGGTTGTGCATTGATAGGTAATTGTAGATGCTATGCTTGAGTCTTCATTTGCTAGACTTTGTATGATATGACCCTAATTTGATAGAGTGTGCATGCCATCATCTTTAATTGAGCTTAACCTAACTATACTTTTTTGTTCCTCAGTTTTCTTTATCAGCTAATAACTTCTTTAATCATTTCCCTAAACTGGGCAGCCCGGTGCACAAAACATTTTTCTGATGTCTTTAATATGCATATCACATGTGCTGATAAGAATCTGTTTGATGTTTGTTGACATAGGTTAGTGCTTCTTATGAGCAGGCATTAATGGATGCACGCAAGCTTATTGAGCGGGAAATGGAAAGATTTAAAATATGTGAAAAGGAAACAAAGACTAAGGCCTTTTCGAAGGAAGGTTTGGGCCAACAGCCAAAGACGGTGAGCATTGGAATGCTCTGCATACATGATTCAAGTTACTTCTTTAAATCTAATTACCTAACAACAACACCTATGTGCTTAAGATGCTTTTAGAATTTTAAAGATGAATTAAATAAGAAAATATGACAAAATCTGTCCAGATCTGAGCAATAACTTCACTCAAGAGTAACTCCGAATATATTAGTCAAACATGCTAATGTTTATAGTGCAAAACATACTCATAATACTCCCTTAATATGATATCAGAAAATACTCCTAATATGTTAGAAACAGATTATATAAAAAACACTCTTAACATCTATGCAAGAAACACATAATATCAGAAAGTTCTCTTATTATCGAGGCAAGAAATAGGTAATGGTGAAATAGGATCTTCAACAAACCTAGTGTCTCCCTTGTATTTAGCTAACTACTTGATTAATTGATAAAACCATCTCAAAGTAGATAATTAAATTAAACTCTTCCTTCTTTTTCTCTGGTTAGATAGCAGGTTGTTATGCTGAATAGGAACTTCATTAGTGCAGGTGTTCTCTTTTCATTAAAATTTCAGATTTCCTGTATGGGTTTTGTGGGAATGAAGGCTGATAAGTCTTTGTTGCATCTTTAAATTAACCAAGGAAAAGTCTAGCCTAAATTTTTTTATTTGGATAGACGTATGCGATTTGAAAATAATAACCCTTAAGGAACTACTCAATGAAATTTTCTACATCGTCATTCTTATGACTCCACTTCGGTCACTTACAGTTTCTTCTTGGAGATTTACTCATTTACTGCAAGTAATTAAAAGGAAAAGTACAAAAAGGTACTCTATGTGGGCATGTTTTCAATTGGATGCCTGTGTTTCATTTTTTAGAGAGTGGGCATGTGTTTTAAGACTGTTAGCACTTGAAGGGTCTATTACCCATGATGTTGAAAAATGTTGACATGGCATTGTGGGGCCCTTTTTAATGCTCCGCAACATGGTTTTTTTACCGTTTGGATCCCAATGTATTTTCATTCTGTAGCACAGAGGCACATTTAGAATTTATTCTCTCCCTCAGTCCCCAGCTCCTGGTGTAAGGCATTTTCTATAGCAGAGATGGCTAGCAATGGATGATGAAGCCGAGGCTGCCGAGATAATGGTGGCATCGGCAGTGTTGGCGGGGATGAAGATGACATTTGCGGAAAATGAAGGCATTGAAAAAGGTGATTGAGACAAGATTTGCAGAAACTGGAGGCATTGACGGTGGCTATGAAGATGGCAGGGCCGGAGAAAACCGTTGCAGGAGAAATATGCCAGGGAATTGGATCTTAATTAATGGTTGCAGGAGAAAACAATTTTCTGGCATGGGAAAATTGAAAATGCATTCAAATCCAAATGACAAAAAATGATGCCAAAGAAAACTCAAAAGTGTCCCAGGGCGTCACATTTTCAGTTTTACACCATTAGGTTATAGACCCTTTAAGTGGTAGAGGTCTTAAAACACATGCGGAGTACTCCACTTTGCAAAAAAAAAATGCAACACAGACTCCTATGGTGTGTTTGGTTGGGCGTAAAATATTTTCCAGGAAAATTTTGATTCTATTTTTCTGTGTTTGGTGACATTAGTAGAAGGAAAATATTTTCCAGGGAAAATATTTTCCTTCAAAGAGGGGAAAACAAATTACATCAAAAAATCGAAGGGAAATTTTCATCATCTTTCCGCTTCACCCTCCAAGTCCCCCCAACCTCTCTCTACCCCATATACCTTTTTTGCTTTTCAGTTTTAAAGTTAAAATATAAAATTTAAAATTTGAAATTCAAAATATAAAATATAAAATTTAAAGTTTAATATAGAAAATTTAAAAACTAAAACTTAAAAAAATTTAAGAATTAAATTTAAATATATAAAATATAAAATTTAAAATTAAAAATTTAAAATTTAAAATTTAAAATTTAAAATTTAAAATTTAAAATTTAAAATTTAAAATTTAAAATTTAAAATTTAAAATTTAAAATTTAAAATTTAAAATTTAAAATTTAAAATTTAAAATTTAAAATTTAAAATTTAAAATTTAAAATTTAAAATTTAAAATTTAAAATTTAAATATTAAAATATTAAACTTAAAGTTTACACGTAAAAAATAAATTTTAAATATCAAAAATAAGCCCAACCATAAGGTATTTTTGGTACTTTTTCCTAACAAAGACGGTTTTGAGTTATTCATAGCATTTATTTGATTCCTCTGAAACTCAAGTCTGAAAATATCATTGAAAAAGTCACTGCTGACCGACAAGTCTACAACTAGTGAGATAAATCAGATGGAGTTAAAACTAATGTCAGCAACATAGGCTTTATCAGTATGCATGTGCTTAGCTTTGCAAGCCTTCTACAGTTCAACTGAAAAATTGAATAAACACTTGAGTTGAATTGATGTTTGATTGTCACAGTTGGTCGTTAAATTATAGAAATACGAAATTTGAGGCATTCTGTTAATCATTGAATTAATATCAGATTTGTTGTTGAATTAATGCTATTTGGGTATGGAAGTATAGACTAAAGATTAAAATAATTCTTATAGCAGGTGGCTACCAAAATCTGAATTTTGAACAGCTCAAGCTTGCACTTGGCTATTGAATTTTTTTTTTGCACTAGGTTGAGTTTTAAATGCTTAGCACTTTGGATTCATAAAGTCTTAGTTTTGGAATTCGTACATCCAGTATTGAATTTGAAAATTTGAATTTTGGATGTGCAACTGTTAACTTATAGCACTTGGTGAGTTGGATTATAATTAACTGAATTTTAAGTTAGTATCATTTTTTTGTTTGTGTTTTTTTTGTCAGGATCCGAAAGAAAAGGCTAAATCGGAGACTAGGGATTGGTTGAACAATGTGGTAGAGTTATTGCCTGCTTCATGCTATTCATTGTGATTTTTTTTCAAAATTAGTGTCTTAGTTTGAGCATGTTGAAGTAAGCTATGATGATGACGGTTTTAGAGTTTCATCTCATTATTCCTTGTTTTGAAGGCTGTGAGTCTGTGACATCATTCAGTGTAGAATACTTCCTCTGTGTCCTTTTAGGTAGTATTTTATAGTGTTGCATAATTTTATATGGGTTTTTATAGATTTTAATGCCACTGACACAAACTACTTCTAGTTGGGATTAAGGTGCTGATAATGATTATGTCTTAGTCTGAGAGTTAAAATGTACTCCAATTTGAAGTGCCTTACTAACATTCTGATTGCTGTTTCCTACGACGAGTTTAAGTTAATTTTATTGAGTAATATATTTCAGATGTTTTCTGTTGCATAGGTTAGTGAACTTGAAAATCAAATTGATATCTTTGAAGCTGAATTGGAGGGACTCACTGTTAAGAAGGGGAAATCAAAGCCCCCGAGAATGGTAATGGGAAACATCTTGACACTGAGGAGATAGTGTGTTGTCTACATTCTTATAATTGATAAACAATTTGTTTTACAGACACATTTGGAGACATCAATTACTCGGCACAGGGCGCATATAATGAAGTTAGAGTTGATTTTAAGGTTACTGGATAATGATGAACTGAGTCCAGAGCAAGTCAATGATATCAAAGATTTCCTTGATGACTATGTGGAACGCAATCAGGTTTTGCTTCTATCTAATATTTAAATTTATGCTTAAAACAATGGTAGCATGTCATTCAAGGAATACCGACAATCATTTGAATAAGCTGCTGTGCTTTTTTTATTAAGCCAGTGAATTTGAAATATTACTGAGAAATAAATGAAAATCTCCTGAGAGAATAAAATATAAGAACTTAGGGGGTGTTTCTATGTGCTGGTGCTTATTGACTAATTGTTTATAAGTAATTTTAAACTTATAAGCTGTTTATTGAATAATTTTTTCTAAAGCGTCTTAAATGAGAGATGAGGCATTTGGGAATATTTATAAATGGTCTAGGATAGCTTTGTAAAATATTTGGTCAAAACGGAGAAACGAGAAAACTGACTTAAAAATGATTAGGTAAGAGGTAGACCTAAGAGGACTTGGAAAGACATGATTAGCTTAGACCTTAGACTTTTGGACCTTACCGAGAATATGACCTTAGATAGGAGTGTCTGGAGAGATAGAAATAGGATAGTTGGGTAGTATGGCGGTAGCTTTTGTGCTTAACAATGTGTGTTTTTGTTTTTTTGCCTACTTTATGTTTATTTTTGCGTGCTTTGTGCTTCTGTGTTACTCGAGCTCGGGGTCTCTTTGGAAACAACCTCTCTACTTTTGAGTAGGGGTAAGGTCTGCGCACACACACCGTCCCCAGACCCTACTTTCGTGGAATTCTACTGGGCTGTTATTTTTTTCGACTTCAAAGCAACTTATAAGCACAAAGAAGAAACACGTCAGCAATTGAATTAAGTTAAAAACAACTTATAGCTATAAGTAGAGACACAACTTGTAAGCTCAGAGAAACACCCACTTAGTTGATAACTTTTATTCTTATTAAAAAAAGGCCTTAAAAATATCTAAGAGAATTAAACTTGAAAATTCAGTTGAGAAATTGTATTCTTTTTCTTATCCCCTCCATCCCATTACATTGTCACTTTAGACATATTTTGAACTTGACCAAAATCCAAGTATTATACTGATAAGTACAACTTTAAAATATAGAAAAGAAAAGTTAATATTCTACATCAAAGTATCACTTGCTTAAGATTAAAAATCCCATGATCAATCCAAGTTCCCCGTGACACAAAAAGTCCTGAAATGTGATATGGGGATTGCAGGCATATAGGCACACTTTGCTTTTAGTTGAAGTTGATCTTTCTGACATATGCATGGTGCTTTTATCATTTATGTTTTATTTTTTTATGTCTCCAAGTTCAGGATGACTTTGGTGAGTTTAGTGATGTTGACGAGCTTTATAGCTCCCTACCTTTGGACAAGGTAGAGGCTCTTGAAGATCTAGTCACCATTGGCACCCCTGGTCTTGTCAAGGTAATATATCCCTTTTTTTTATGAATGAGGTAATATATCTTACCCTAAAAAAGGTAATATATCACTCTTGGTGTGAATTAGTTTTACTAATTTTGTTGGCTGATAAGCTTTTCCTTAGCTTCATAAGAAACTCTATATTTTAGGTTTTTGTCCTGATTTATTGTATCCCTTATTCTATGCAAATTAGACTGTCTCACACTCCCCATGTTACTCTCTTGAGACAGTTCAGATTATTGTAACTTGTAAGCATGAAGCAAATGCTATCTATTGGGTTACTGTCCATGTTAAAGACTATATTGGGTCATTTAATTTTCAAGATGATCTTCTGAGGACCATCATGTCATTGCCATACTTCATTTCCCACTCTCTTCCACAACTACCAATGCGAATCACATGGATTTACTATTTATATGCTACCCTCTAAGGCTCTAAAATTACCACAATCAAGCTATAAAATTTACCCTCTAAAATTTAGCAGGTCTAGGCCTAGTGGCTTCACCTAAGGCTTATATTCTTCAACACTAACCACACTTTTCCCTTACTGCACTTTGGTTTAAACGTGTTATTTTGGACTGCAGTTTTACCTAGTGAGGACTTTAATTGCCAAGATGATGGGTATAATGCTTTTTTCCTTTTTACTTTGCTACTTGTATACAAGTAACATTTTGTTTATTTCTGTGTATTTACTGTAACTTCATTTGCAGCGTCCTATTTCTTCTCCTTGATATCTGATCGCAATCATACCAAGAATATCTCATGTGCACATGCAAACGGTGCTTTATCTCTTGCTTGAATTGTTTCCCCTTTTGTTTTGCAGGGTGTTAGTGCCATAGTAAGCACCAAAATTTCTATTGCCACAACACCTTCTCAGGCATCAGTATGTTAAGCTTTCCTTATCTAATCATCTTCAGAATGATCATTGAATGGTGTATACCATAATACAATGCCTTTTTCATCCAGCTTATTTTACCTTTTTCTTGGGGGTGGGGTGTCAGCTAAATTAGGTGTGCATATCATTCCATGTTAGATGTAATTTGAAACTTGAAAGACATACATGGAGACATTCTATTCCCACTTGATGCACCTATTGTTTATCATGCACTCCGCAAAATACACAGTGGGAGTTTTTAATAGGTCTAAGTGTCGCTTTTGGATAAAAACGGGATACACACTACTTCCAACTCTAGAAATAGAATTTAAATTTTGATGCTTGACTTCAGACTCCTGTCTCTTTCACAATCAATTGCTGTTTGGTTTTACTTTTTTTTAACATTACTTGATTGACTACACTTTCCACAGCTAAAAATAACACCTCCTGCCCAACAAAGTGGTCCTTCCCAAGAGCAACCAGATGGATTAGGTTCCCCAGAGAGTACCTCTGATGCAGTTGCAAGGACCCTACCCCCTAAAAGTGGTGCAGTTTCTGCTTCAGCTCCAGCAACATATGTTGGTGGCCGTGCAAGCACTGGTATTGGTCTCTTGTCAAAAGTTAATAATTTCAACTGATTTGACCTCTCTTTTTGAATTTTAATTCTTGTTGTGGTCCGTTGGATCATGCAATTGCTGCAGTCGCTTCATCTCCTATGAATCTGCTAAGTGCTGTGAAAGATGAGGGGGTTACAGTCTTCCCTGGACGAAAAGCATCCCCAACACACGCAGAACCTGGATTAAGGGGCATTGATAGAAACGACTTCTCTAGTCAACCTGCCGCCAGCATTTCTCTTGGTTCTATTAATTCACTTTCAAACGATGAAGCTCTAGGTGCTACGTCTTCAGTCTCTGAAGTGACAAAGAGAAATTCTTTGGGATTTGATGAAAGACTTGGGACTACAAGCAATGGACAGCCTCTCATTTCCCCTCTGGCTAACAGATCTAGCATGTCACAAACTGTCAGGTCTAGTGATGGAATGGGCACTAATGATAGTGGTAATGTTGTCGAGTCCAGTGTTTTGGCTGGTAGGGGGTTCTCTTCTTCAGTTCTACCTGGAATGCAGTGGAGGTCTGGAGGTTCCTTTCAGAATCAGAATGAGGCGGTGTGTGACATTCATTTCAGAATGAGGCTGGTAGGGGGTTCTCTTCTTCAGTTCTTAACTTGTGTTTCTACTTTTTTTAGGGGCAGATCCGCGGAAGAACTGAAATTGCTCCTGACCAGAGGGAGAAATATTTACAACGGTTTCACCAAGGTCAGAGTTATATTCCTGGGAGCCATAAACAGTTTTATCCACATCATCAGAATCCACTTTTGCATCAGGTAAGATTTTTAAGTTTCCCGATGATATGATTTTCCTCAACTTTCTAATCTACGTTTGACTTCCTCTTTCCACTCTGATTTGATGTACTCTTTAGAAGTTCAACAACATATCACACTCACTATAATCCCGGCTGCATTGGGGTCTGGGGTCAAGAGTTACACAACCTTACAACAACCACAACCCAGTATAATCCCAAAATTCCCAACTTTGTTGGGGTCTAAGGGGTCAAGATGAATATAGTCTCCCCTTGTAAAAACAGAGAGGCTGTTTTTGTTAGACCCTAGATGCATATCTACATTTACCGCCCAAAAGTTCATAGAAAGTAAGAAGGAATGGAAGTTTAATGTGCCATTTTGCTTTAGTCCATTATGTGCCCAAAACTAAAACACTGTTAATAGTGACTCTTTTAGCTCCATTGGCAATGGACATAAGTTACACAACCTTATTCCTGTAAAAAAGCAGAGAGGGTATTTTCATTAGATATGCATTGCTGTATTTACTGCCCAGAAAAGCATAAACTTCATAGACAGTTGGAATCAATGGAAATTTAATGTATCATTTTGATTTAGCCCATTTTTTAAGGATAAGTTCATTGAGACCAGAGCCTATATGTGTTTTTAGTTCTTGCAAAGTTAAATTTGTTTTAGGTTGATGTAAAATTATTGTTTTTTTCATCCCACTAGTATATGTTGCTTTGTTTTTAGCCCCTCTCCAACCTCTTGTCAACCTTCACTAAAAATGGTGTGACTTGCTGAACTCCACTCTAGCCTTTCCAAGTCAACATAATTCAAATAACAACATAATTCAAATAAAAAGTTCATCTCCATCCTACTAGTTTAATCCCCCAAACATAAAAGTTTAAAAATTATCTTTGAACACGTCATGCATATGGATATCAATATCTCTATCCATAGACTCATCATGGACACTAGATAAGTCAACACCATAGTCATCTTCAAGATACTCATCATCAATTAGACCCAGGAGATAAAGCAACGTTAAGTCAAAACAGTTTAAAATTTGGCTTTGAAAATTTAAAAAACTGCCCAAGGTAGGGCGCCTAGGCCTGAGGCGAGGGTAAGGCGAGCACCTTAACGCCTCGAGGGTTTCTGGGCGTGGCGGACAGATAAGGCGTCCATGGCATAGTGCCTTATCGCCTAGGCGACGCCTTAACAACTATGACTTCCAAGTATGAGTAAGACCTGCGTAGTGCATACACTCACCGACCATAGACCCTACATTGTGTGGGATTTTACTGGGTTTGTTGTTGTTGATTAACATAATTAAGTAAAGTAAGCATAAATAGTTTGATGCTGTAACTAGTGAGAGTGAACTTTATTTTGGGACCAAGGGAGTAGTATAAAGGAACGGAAGGGAAGGGGTGGTGCTCAAACTGGAAGTAAGTTGATGGTTTAATCAGCACACAACACATTTTTCATGATTTCCTTGTATGTTTGAACCAATGTATATTTTAGGTCTTACACTCTGAAGTCTCTCATGATCTCAAATGTGATACAGACCTCCTTTTCATTTTGTTTCAGTTCAATTCTCAAGGTTCCTCTGTGACTCCTCAACTTGGATTGGGAGCTGGGGCCCAAGCTTCTTCTCCCCTTAATGATGCATCTTCCTTTAATAATGAATCTCCATCTGCACTGGTGCAGCAACAATCAGGTGTGACCCACTGACCATCTAACTGTAAGACACGGAGTATACAGAGTAGATATCAAGTGTCAATAATCAGATTATAGAGATCCTAATTATGTTTAACAGTAACAGTTTTTTTCTTAATTTGACTAATTTACCCTTGAAAATACATACTTTAAAATTGTTGTACGATCCAACCGAGGCAATGTATCATTATAAGTTAATATTTTGCGTACAATGTTGCAGATGGCTGCAGACATTCAAAAGTTGAAGAGTTGCGACAACAGGTTCAGTGTGAAGATGTTTTGGCAGCTTCTGCTCCTTCCTCAAGCCTTGTGAAGAATCTCATGAATGAAGATGATTTCAAGGCTTATGCAACAGATAATTCAGTGAGTGCAGTGTTTTGTGTTATGGTCCTATTTATAACAAAAATGATTATAGCTCTGATTACTTTGATCTACGTCTACCTTTTGAAAAGTTGCTTAATGGATGTAGTGATATACAGATCTACTCTCATGTATTATTTAATTGATTTATTTAAAGGCTGTGGGTCTGAAGAAGAATTTGGTAGTAAACAAACAACAACAACCCAGTTAAATCCCACAAGAGGGTGTGTGTACGCAGACCTTGCCCCTACTTGAAAGTAGAGAGGCTGTTTCCAAAGAGACCCCCGGCTCAACGTCGAAAATTGCATTGCTTGACTAACTGCTACTTCTTTAATTAAAGAAGCACGGATAGTTTAGAGATCCATTTTGATTTATTCCATCACACCCCAAAGCCAAAAAATGGTGAAATTTTGGCTCCATCGGAGTATATTATAGGCAATAGAAAGTGGTGCAGTGGTGGTGGTCATGGGGGGGATGGATAATATCACATATGCACATACATTACTAGATCTATGGTATTGAATTAACATAATAATTTGTTCAGACTTCAGAGTACACATGCAAATACTACATGTTTCTTAAATCTGTAGGTCTTGTGCTGAGTTATGCTATTAGACAAATCTAGTCCACACCACAAGCATTTTGTGAATGTGATATTACACTCTTGGATGAATGAGAACTTAATAAAGAAGAAAGATTGGGCTGGATCACAAGCAACTATTGTATGAACCTAATTGTAGCATACATGTGATTTGTCGGGCATACGAAACAGTTCAAGGTTCATTTTGCAAAGTAAAATGAATAGTTTATAAATATTTCACAAGATAAATTGCCAATATTGATACTAATAGATAGAAACAAGGCTTTAAAAGACATAATTGGGCCTTGGGGCTGTGGGACTCTATGACACAAGGTGTAAGCCTCGAGTGTGACAAGGCCTATGCCTCAATTTAATGTAAACAAAGTAATAAAATAATACAATAAAACGCATAACTTATGTTGTGAAATAGAGTAGTACTCTTACTGCATCAGTAAATTATTATAAGTAATATAAACTTAGAAACAGATTTTAAGAAGTTTAAAAACGGAATCAAACAATGTTAAACAGCCACAAACTATGAGAATAAGTACTCTTATCAAACACTAATAATACGAAGTAAATAAGTAATAGACTAATAGTATAATTCTCCAATATAAACCGCTTCAAACTAAAATCCCATTTAAAGAAGAGATTAAATAAAGAGGGAGGGGGGGAGAGAGAGATAGAGAGGGCAGGGGGTTGCATTGAAGACTTGGTTGTAGACAGTAGACCAAGACAACTATTTAGCAATAGAAGAGCGAGAGAGAGTGAGAAATTAAAGAATGGATGATGTCTATTTTAATTGGCTCCTAGGTTTATCAATATAAGTTTATGTTTCTACTATTTACATTTTACACACCGTGTTGTTAGAAAGGCCAAATATAAATTAAAGCAAAGTAAATAATGAAAATATTCAAGATAGAAGTTTCATTTAAAAATTTGTGCATTTGTATTACAAGTATACATCATTGGTGTGGTGACGTATATAACACTCTTCTGTTGCAGGGTGGAGTGGGAAGCTCCGTTGCTGAGCAGCCCCAGCAGCTTCCAAAGGACATTGTGGATCTATCTCCAGGCAAGCCGTTACAACCAAACCAGCCGTCGGGTGGGAGCATTGGAGTTATTGGTCGAAGAAGTGTAGCTGATCTTGGTGCAATTGGCGACAACTTGATCAACCCACCCGCCAATCCTGGAGTAGTGCATGACCTGTCATACAACTTACAAATGCTTGAGTCAGCTTATCGCACACTTCCTCACCCAAAAGATTCTGAGCGTGCTAAGAGCTACACACCAGTAAGTAAACTATGCACTCTACTTAAAGAGACCAAAGTGCATTATCTGCTGTGAGGCGGTCTCATGGTGAAATTGGACCAGAATGACCCGAAAAAAATTGCTCTAATTGACTGATGGTGACTTTTTAATTTTGGAAACGTGCAATTGCCATGATTCATGAAGCTTATAAATCACGGCAAGTTATTTGATCAAAATGGTTCCTTTTTTTGGGACAAACTAGTGTTTGAAACTGAACTCTTTTTTGGGACATACGAGTATTTAAGGAAACATTTATTTGAAACGTATCAATTAAAATTGTGTCATCAAGTTAGACGTCCTTTGGCCTTTGACAGACACATCCTGTGGTGACCCCTTCAAGCTATCCACAAGTACAGGCGCCGATTGTTAGCAATCCCTCATTTTGGGAACGGCTTGGGGCTGATAATATTTGCACTGAGACCTTATTCTTTGCCTTTTACTACCAACAGGTGCATCCTCCTTCCCCCTCTCCCCCACAAAAAATGCTCTATCATGTTATCTTTAAGAAGTCATTCGTCCTTGACAAAATGGTTTGAAAACAAAATCATAGTGTTCTTCTGGCACAATACATGCAGAACACATATCAACAATACCTGGCAGCAAAGGAGCTGAGAAAGCAAACTTGGAGATACCACAGACTGTACAATACATGGTTTCGGCGGCTCGAGGAGCCAACGGATGCTACAGATGATTATGAATCAGGGACATACCTTTACTTTGATATCACTAATGAAGAACAACATGGCTGGTACGATTTTTTTCTTATTTCTGTACGGCATGTTTGGGAACTAGAATTTGGATTTCAAATCCGGATTTTGCTCAAATTCCATGTTTGGGAAATCTTAAAAATTTGGATTTGGATTTGGATTTGAGGCAAATTCCTCTAATTCATCACAAAGCTTAATTGCAAATCCATGTCTCCCCTTGTCATTTGAAATTCAAGAATTCAAATTTTGAAATTGAAATGCATGAAATTGAAATGAAATGCTAGTTCCCAAACACTACGTTAATGAATTATGGTTCTTGGTGACGTATTTATGTTTGAACCTACGAATGCTGTTTGTTTATCATCCTCCTAAACAGGTGCCAGAGGATCAGGACTGACTTTACGTTCGAGTACAAATATCTTGAAGATGACCTCCCAGCATAGAATCTCTCCTTACAGTTTAACACATCGTTAGTCTACGGTTTGTAGTCTCACATTTATTTTCTTCACACCATTGAATTTGCCAAGTGAAAACCATTCTTTTCATGCATGCTTCTGAGTTCTTATAATTTTTATGATCATATCCTTTGCTGAAGAAATTCCTTTGCCATAAAAGAAAATAAGATAATGCTTGATGGAATAAGTCTCCTATTACTCAGTTTGGTCCATTGGCTTTTGTGAGTTAGACTGAAAAGTAAGGGACCAAACATGAGGGCAAAGTTTGTTAAATCCAAATGCATTTCTTTTCTTTTTTGCTTGCAGAGCAGTTGAAGTAAATCTTAAATTTGATCTAAAATGTCTAATTTGGTGCCAAACCCATATTTTACATGTCAATTATTTTGCATATCAATCGATTTATTTCTCTCGCTTTTAAAGTAGTCTTGATTACTAGTACTCCCTTTGTCCCAAAACAAGTTTCGAGGTTTCCTTTGTACACTTATTTAGACATCTGATTTATTTGATGATTCATTTATTGTATAGAATGAAAAATGATCAATAGAAAATTTGTTTTCGAACAAATAAAATAGGAGAACGTGAAATTTAATTTGAAGTAGAGAGTAGATAGATATAGGCAAGCCAATTTATGTGATCATTTTTTTGCACTCCTTGCACAACTACTCAATTTTCTATTACCTCATGCCTTGAAATTCTTAATGTTGAGTTCATTATAAGCTTGAGTACTTATTATATTTTGGTCCAAGTTCTTCAAATCCTTTGGTGTGAAAATTGGTCCAAAGTTAAATTGTCTGCTTAAAATAGTGTATCAGAGAAATAATTTGAGCCACAATTTTTTAGATGAGCAAAATATTTTTATAGGCCAAAAGGGATCATACAAAGTCGAAAGAGTTCACAAAGAGAGACTATTTTACTATGTTGTTAAGTGATATTCCCTCGTTTTCTTATTCTGTCTTAAATTAAGTTGTATATTTATTATTCATAGTATCAAATTTTATTTACTTTTTTTCTCTATTTTTATTACTCATTTGATAAAATAATATAGTCATGTTACTTTTTGATTTGTAAAGCTTTGGAAAAAAACTAAAATTAGAGTAAAACATTAGAATTATATCAAAATATAAGATATTTTTTATTTCCGAAATAGCAGTTAAAATATATTTACATTATTAATCATTAGTTCATTATCATGTAAATTACTTATAGTAAAAAGTTCATAAATAGTGTCACATTAGCAGAGTGTGAATTTCGATTTAGGGAATAAAACATGGAATTTCTATTTTTGATATTTTCTCTATGTTTATTCCTATTGATGGTAATTTCTTTAGAAGAGTTTTTGATGTAGTTTTTTAATATATAAATTTTATTTTTTATTTCTGTTCTAAGTTTTAAATATATTATATTAAAAATAATTTTAGTCAAATATCATAAACAACAACAACAACTCAGTTAAATCCCACAAGAGTAGGGTCTGGGGAGGGTGTGTGTATGCAGACCTTACCCCTACTCGAAAGTAGAGAGGCTGTTTCCAAAGAGACCCCCGGCTCAACGTCCAAAGTTGCATTGCTTGACTAACTGCTACTTCATTAATTAAAGAAGTGCAGACAGTTTAGAGATCCATTTTGATTTATTCCATTACACCCCAAAGCCAAAAAATGGTGAAAGTTTGACTCCATCAGAGATGATGGATGAGAAATAAGGTAATTCATGCAATTGCCCTATATGAAAAATAAGGTAATTCATGCAATTGCCTTTTTTCTTTCTATTTTTTTTTTAAACAAATACCAACCATAGTCCATAACTTTTACTTTAAAAAAAAAAAATCTACGGAGTACTTTTTTCTCTCCTCTATATAAATATTAACCACATACGGAGTACTATAATTTTTACTTCAAAAATTTTAGGGGTACATCAAAAAATATACCCAAGTGTACCCAATGCATCTCTACCACATAATTTAAATATTGATAATAAAAAATTACTCCGTAATAAATAAGTATAGAATGAATGGTTGTACAAATGGTGTACCCCTCTTTTTATTTTATTAAAATTATTCCTTCCGGCTTCAAAAAAAATTATTTATTCTATTTTTTATAGATCTTCTCGAACATTACTTATATGATCAAATTTAACTCAATTTTTTACTTATTTTTAATACTTATTTTGTACAATAATATGGTTTATGACTTCTTGTTTTGTATAATTTCTATGCAGTTTTTTATTAGATAAATTTTAGTTTTAAATTTTATACCTATAATCATATAAATTGAACGAAAAATAAAATTAGTTAGATATCGTAACGCATAATAAAAAGGCCAATGGGCAACACAGGAAGTATAGAATATGGAAGGAGGAAGACATTATGTGTCCATGTTATGACTCATGTCTGCTTGGTCTTTCTTAGGTTGTACTCCGTAATAAGCATAAATAGAACAACAAGGGTGAAACAAAATTCATATCCTAAATGATGAAATCCACACCCCAAGGAATCCCTAATTCAAAAGAAAGCAATACAATGGGTACCAACAAATTTTGCAATCTCCTCAAAAGGAAATCAATACATAAAAAAGGGTACTACAAATTTTATGCATCACATAATTGTGGCTATTTTCTGCTTAAAAAGGAGAAAAGCCAAACCATGAGGAGGGAAGGAAAGCTAGGAATGATTTTTTTACCCTTAATATTGGGTGTGGGATGATCAACACATCCAAACATCTCCTCTATATACACATACACAAACACACAGTGATTTTGGGGAAATAATAACACTCCCCAGTCAAACTGCCACCACACATATTTTACACAGAAGCAGAAGACCAGCACTGTACAGGAGGAGGACCAAGTCTCCCACCCACCCATCATCACTTTGACGGGGCAACTTGGTTGATCTTTTGAGATGCAACTAGCGAACGGGGAACGGTGAGAGGAAACTGGAATTCGGGGCTGTGAAATGACGGCTTTGCCCCTACGGCGATAACCTCTTCTGGTGATGGGAGAGGGAGAGGCTCTTGTTTAGGTGTGAATTCGAACGAGAGATCTCTGTTGTTTGATAATGCAAGCAGTTCTTTCTCTTCTAGGCCCTTTGCAGGCCCCTCGCTGCAATGCTCTGACCCGTACTTCAAGAGTGCATCTTTGAACTTCTTGATCTGTTTGATTTTAAAATACAAGTTGAAGAATGATTAGTGGCACAAATACCCATTCCCGCTTTCCATTTTTCCACTATATAGTGTATGACCATGAACTTATTGTCAGTTTTGGTGCTTCCCGGTCACTTACCCAGCCAAAAACGAATTGGATATTGTCACGTGAGTCAAAAGAACTTATTGTCGATTCTAGAGTGTGTTTTTAAGCATGAAGATTGTTAATATCATAACAAGAGGGTTAATCTTTGAGATAGATTTTTGCTGGTTCTGGCCAGACAAGTGTTTTGAGGGATCGAGAAGGCAAGAAATCCATAGTCATGCATCAAAAAAAGGAAAGATGAATGTTGAGGGTGAACCGCAGAGGCGCCGAAATAGATTAGTCAGTATTAACACAATAACACATCATTACTAGCCAACAAAAGCATTTCAGGGAATTAAAAAACTCATGCAATTCTTAAGACAGAAACAAACCGTGGCATTAGTGCAGCTGAAGCTGCATACACGGCCTTTATCTCCTCGATAAAAACGGAAAAGAGGAAGAACATGAACATTAAGGCTATGACACATGGATTTGTGCTCCTCATAGTTCACCTGCAGAAACTGTACGTCTGGATTCATCTCTGCCAATTGGCATATCTGAAGATAAAGACAGCAAAACACAACAGTTCATCACATCATTCCCCGGTTGTCCTGGACAGTAGTAAACAACCCATGTTCCCTTTCCTCCTCAATTTCTTTTTCCAGTAAAAATCAGAAGCAATCTAATGGAAATGAGACAAAGCCTGTACCTTAGGATGAAGGGCTTTGCAGCCACCGCATCCGGGACTGAAGAAATCAACCACCACTAGTTTATCACCGGAACTTAAGAGAGACTCTACAAGGTCATGGGCGCTTGTCACCTCCTTCATGTTGGGTTGAAGACCCTTCTCCCACCATTTATTAGCTCTCTTGAGTCCTATACTCATCTGCATGTAAAGGAACCAAAAAATTGCCCAAATCATCTCTATATGGAAACTGATGACAAAGGAAATTATTTCTTGATCAAAAGGGACTAATTAAGCACAATCCGTTGGGAAGACCTTCCCCTCCTTTCAGGATATAATAGGCAAGAATATAGAAAATTGATAACACAACTAGAAGAGACACTATTTTTTAACGTGGTTCGGTTTCTCAATAAACCTACCTCCACAACTCGTTATCTATATTTGGAATACACATAATACAATTTCAAACGGATAATTTATAAGACTCTTCACAGAGTTTTTAGAACTCTCAATAAGTTCTAAAGTACACACACAATCTTGGAGCACTCTCTCAACGAAATTACTCACTAAAAAAGGTGTGGGGCTAACTCTCAACACACACAAATTTAGCCCTCTCCTCCTCTCTCCCTTCTCCCTAGAGAAGAACTCTCAAGAAGCTTTCAAAGTGAAGATTACTCCCTTCTCCCTTCCTTTCCATCTCTAGAAAGATTCTTAAAGGAGCTCATGTCTCTACATGCATGGGTACAATCATATTCATAAGCAATTTTGACCACCATGGGATGTCACATCACCAAATTGAAAGAACTCAATCTGCTTAGTTCTTCTCTTGGCCACCATATTTGAGCCGACTCCCAAAATTGAAATTTTCAATTTGGTTTTTTCTCCTTATTAGTCTTAGAAGTCAAATCATTTCTCTCTTTTTCCTATTTTGCTTAGTAATCAAAATAACAAAAAAAAAGGATTTTGTTTGCCCCCAACACCATCCTAAAAAAAACAGCGATCTCCACACAAAGAGCTTTGGCAGTCGGAGATATCACCAAGCAACAACCAAAAATAATACTCATTATTGCTTCAGTATACCTGCGCATTCGAAGAAATCGCTCGGCCGACTCCGCCACTTGGCGCGACCGCAACTCCACGGCCATAGAAATCAGAGCTGGGCAGGCCGTGGTTAATACACCTGAGCTTCACAGGCGGAAACGAATTGCCGGAACTATTAGGAAAAGCGCAAACCCCGTGGTGGCAACGACGGTGAATCGCCGGCTTCCGATTCACAAACGGCGGCGAAACCGCACCGCCGGGGATCTTGCTCGCCACCGCAGCCATCAAAATAAATTGAATTAGGGAATCTTGATCGGAGAAGAATTGAAAATCAAACAGAAGAAATGCTTTATTTTCAGGCCTGTATGGATTGAAAAGAGGAATGGATTGTAGGGGAAGACAAGTCTTGAAAAGGGCAATTCAACCGAAAGAGTTTTCCTTTTTCTCTGGATAACTTGGAAAATGCGGGCACACCAAACATCCCCACCCCCTCCATCACCATACAAAAAAGGCAAGAAAAATTTAAAAAGAAATAAAAAATAAAAATAAAATAAAATGAATGGTAAAGAGAGGGGTGGTGTACATTTGGGGTACATCTTTGGTGTACCCCTAGCATATCCCGGATAACTTTTAATTTTTTACCTACTCTACTTTTTTTAATTGTCTACCCATTCGTTTTAATGAAAATATTTTAAACATTTTTCCTTTTTTGGTTATATAAAAAGAAATTTCTTTTTTTGAAAAAGTAGATTAAAATATTTCAACCCTTCTATCAACCACATCAATTTTAACTAACACCAGAATTTCACTGAAAATGGGTTTGAAGCTCCGGAGTTTCAAACTAAGATTTCAAACCTCTATTTTTTTGCATTTGTAAATATACATCTTCTAAAAATTAAATTAATAATATTTTATTATTTAATTTAAATTAAAGGAAAATAATTCATTAAATAAAGAAATATAATCAGTAAAAAGTACATTAACAAAATAAGATTTCAGTAATAACAACAAAAATAAAAAAAATTATATTACTTTATGAAGAAATTACTGATTATTCGAGCGACTAAAAATATTTTCATTCGAATTTGGGTTGTAATGACATATTGAAAATCAAAATAATTCATTAAATGAAAAATACATTCAATGAAAAAAAAGTACGTTAAATTTAAAAAAACAACAAAAAAAATACATTGCTAAAAATATCTAAACAAAAAATATTACATTAAACAACAAAATATAGAGTAAAAAAATTGTGTTTGTGTATGTTTTATTTTTTAAAAATAGAAAGAATACAAAGAATAAAAAAACTTTTTATTCTTATGGCATTAATGTAATTTTTTTGTTGTTTTTTAATGGAGGAACCCACACATTTTCTCTTCTTTCTCTGTTAAACTTTTGGCGCATAAGAGATGAGGCCCTGACAAAGCCTCAAGGGGCGGTGTTTAATGCCCTTTTGGCATTAAAAGCAGCAAAAACGCTCTGAGCGTTAGGACCATTTCCAATGCTCTTACGATCACATGCCTAGACCTACAACAAACCAACTTTTTTTTTGAAAAGTACAACAAACCAACTTAATGAAGGGTAACTTCCGAAAAAGGAGGGAAGATTTGTGTGATGGAATTCAAAAAAGCTAATCAATTTTGAGTCAGTGACAAAGGAAGTCGGTGACTTCCTTTGAGAAGAGGAATAAATAAAGTCACGTGACCCGTCACTTCTCGAAACGATGCTATGCTTACGCTTCAACAGAAACATCGTTCAAGACGTGTTTGGGAAGAAGAAGATTCTTCTGAGGCAAAAAATTTTTGTTGTCGGTATGACACCAGCGTTGAAAGCTCTTACGATGAAGATCGTGTATAACCCATTAAACTGGACCACAGTTTAATCATTACCCTATTAGAATGGTGGCCCTATCAGATAAAGATGAATCTCAGAAAAATATGTTTAGAATTTTTTGAATAGCAGTTGTTGACTGCATTTTTCCATCTTCCGAAGTCAGTCTGTAAATTCTTCTATATCTCAAATTTTTTTCTTTAATAACTTAGGCCCCGTTCCGTTCAACTTATTTTTTCTTATTTTTTCTTATTCTTATTAAAATCAGATCACATCAGATCAGACCAGATCAGATCAGATCGAATCAGATCAGATCAGATCAGATCAGGACTTATTAAAATAAGATCTCATCAAGAATTATTATTATTATTATTATTATTATTATTATCATCATCATCATCATCATCATCATCATTACTATTATTATTATTATTGTTCTTAAAAATGAAAAAGAATAAACTTTAGAAATATGTTAAATAAAAAGATGAGAAAGTAATCCTTAATTATTAGACGTCGGAAAAATTAGTTTCAGAATACATTGACAATGTCAATCTAATTCTACTTTTAAAATATATTTTTATTGCTACTTGTAATTTGAGTTTCTAAACTTTTGATCTTTTATAAGGATGAGATATTTTAATAAAAATACTATCTCTTCTATATATTGATTATCTAAATTTAATTACTTTTAAATGTATATCTAACTTAAATATTTATTCTAATGTATAATTCTAATTTTACAAAAAAATAATCATAAAATAAAAAATATTACTCCCTCCGTCCCATAAAATGTTACCCTTTTTGACTAAATTAGAAATTAAGGGAGAGATAATTTTGTGTTGACTTTCCAAAAATACCCTTGATGTGAAGGGTAAAAGTAGGATGTAATGTATAGATTATTAGGAAAAAGGTATGATGTGATAGGTAGGGTTTGAAAAAGTAAGGGGTAAAAGTGGTTTTTTAATAGAAATGGGTAGGAGATTGTGGGACACAATTTTTTTGAAATGTGTAAATCTTTTTGGGACGGAGGGAGTATTACATTATAATATGAATGATTATTCTAATATATGAATTAACTATTTTTATTTTATTAAAAAATAATCATTAAATAAAAAATATTGATTATATTATAATATGAATTATCATTACAATTTTCAAACGTTGTTATAAAGTCAAATTAAATTATTGATTTGAAATTTTAAATTAAATCATAATTAATCAGATCAGACCAGATCAGATCAGATCAGATCCAATCAGATCAGATCAGATCCAATCAGATCAGATCAGATCCAATCAGATCAGATCAGACCAGATCAGATCAGAATTTATTAGAATCAGATCAGATCAGAAAAAATAAGTTGAACGGAACGGAGCCTTATCATATATCACTATATTGATCTATGTAATATAGTTATATTTATTATACATTTATTTGTACAATTGTAGTATTTAAATAATGTCAAGGAAAAAATATACTACATCCGTCTTATAAAATTGTTTTATTTTGACTTTTGTAAAAAATTGTAGAAGTTTGACTAAAGTAAAATGATAACAATTGAAAAGAGTAGGGCTCGAGAAATGTCAAAATAGATAGAGTGTGGAAGGTACTTGAGATATGTTCGGTTAGATTTAAGAAAAAATAAATGCAATTGTGTTCATTTAGCTCAAATTAAAATGTTTATGGGACAAGCAAGATATGAAAGTTGAAAAGTTTTACAAGATGGAGGAAATATAATACTTCATCTGTCCAAATTAAGTTGTATGTTTATGATGAAACTTCTTCATTAACTTTCTTTTGCAATTTTTAATACTCATTTGATAAATATTACTATAACAATGTCATATTTTATTTTGTGAAATCTTTGATGTTGTTTTTAAATATGTAAAATTTGTTTTTTATTTTCACCTTGATTTTTAAATAAATTGTATTAAAAAATAAGTGAAGTCAAACAATGTACTAGGAAACGGCAAATGAAATAAAGTCGAGATAATGCTTCATGCCCTTTCATCACTTTTTATTGCTTTCATTATTACACACATGGCTTAGGACTTAGGACCACTTCTTATTGCTCATTATAATCACACACAAACCAAAGAGCATAAATAGAACTAAATCTTGATCTAATATTACCATACATATATTGACCATTCACACACAACAGACATACATGATAAACAAGAAACCCAACGCTAGTTGATCAATGCAGCGTTTTCAATAGTAATACGGGACGATCTTCCAGCGCTGGTTGTCACCTTTCGTCCACTCCCAGTTAACAATGGTGGTGCCGTCTTGGACACCCCCGTGATCTTTGTCCCCGTGGAACGCGTCAAAGTTTAGGCTGATATTGTTAACCATCCTTATTGCTTTGTAGTTGTCGCCCGTGTCCTTGCTCTCCGTCCACAGGATGGATTCGTCAAGATGGTCCGGTTTGTACTCTGTCAGCTGAACCTGAAATCCATAAAAATGCCTTCATAATATACATATATATACATCAAGGTACAATGAACTAAAGTGCCCGTGCCTTCAATCACGGTTTTTTTTAGTAATGAACAGGTCATAGGACACTTGAGTGAAACCACACTAAAAGTTTGTTAGAATATACACTTAGGATTCCTTTTGGTACACGGAATTGGAATTGAATTCGGAGTTAAAATTTTATGGAATTGAATTCTCCAATTCCAATTCATTTTTGGCACTACCAATTCCAAATCCACATATTTTTGTGCTACCAAACAATCGAATTGGTATTGTTGTCTTCAATTCCAATTCATAGTTGGAATTTCAAGTACCAAAGCCTTATATAAAATCTTTCCTGAGCCGAAGTTTTAGCTTTAATCACGTTAGTCATGTGCAACTGTGCAAGGCTCGAAGCAAGAACAAAAACATCTCTGATCTTCACCACTTCTACGACCAAGTTTGAGCTTTTTGTTGAATCAATTTCTTGGTAAAATTCGAATTCAACCGATTATTTGGTTCAACTCAACGTCTTATTCGTTCATTTTTCTACCTTTACTTTTTCGATGTGAAATACCTTAATATATATCGATCCTGTAATTTTTAATCATCTAAACAAATTCCAATCATTCGCTTAACTAGCTACTAATGAATAAATTAGAATGATGGAGCAGGAGTTATTATATACTCTCTCCGTCCCAAAATACGAGTGTGACAAATATTTAGGGATGGAAGAAGTACTTAAAAATAAATACATACCGGTTTGGTGGCAGCAGAGGCATGCTTGATGGCCTGGCCAGTGCCTTTATTCACCAAAGCAAAACTGGGTAACCCTTCATCATCCTTCACTCTTGTGCTGTATTTCTCTTCTTTGTACAAGTGCTGAATATTTAATTTCTCAATTTTAATTTAATTAATTAACCAAATGTAAATAAAATAATACGGACTAATAAAATGCAAATATAATTGCTTCTTCTTAATATGCAGGGCGTCAATAGGATACACTTTGATTTTGTAGAGCGACCTGGTGGGGATCGGAAGGATTAGAGCGGGCAAGGATGAGCTGCCCGTGACGGATGGAGAGGCACAGCTCCGGATCTGCCCGGCAATATATCTTATACGTCTCC